CTTCTCTCACTCTCTCCTTAACACACACACACACACACACACATACACGCACGCACTAAAATTTAACAGTACCCCAGACCCTGACTGACTCACCGAGTGATGCCAAGAGTGAGTGTGAGGCCGGATAAATGGAGCACAGAGGCGATGAGTCAAGGGACCATCCTGAGCCAAGGGACCATCCTGAGCCAGACAGACTAAATCAATCACACTCCAAGAGCTGGTATCGCTGAAGCCTTTCCCAATGATGCCCTTTCACCACAATGAAAACAGCTTCATTCTGTTGAGTTGAAACGTCAGTGGGGCTGCAAAGGAGCTGAAGTGGTCGTTCAATCACACACATAAGGAAATATACAGTGTAGGCTATGAAAGTAGCTGTGAAATGTGGGAGGTAGAGAAAAGAGAGTGTGGGAGAAAGCCACAAAGAGCTGAGTGGTACTTCTGTATGTTACTGCATGGCCATCTCTCAACTTTAAGATTGCTTCTGTTGTTTTCGCTGTCTTGCTAATTTGTGATACACAGAAAGAGCAGCTGAGGCCGATGGGAATGTCATTACTGTTGCAGGTATTTTATCATATTTAATCATTACCATTCATCTTCTCTGACTAGGAATGTCTCTACCAAATTTCATGGGGATCCATCCCATAATTCTTGAGATATTTCAGTCAGTTGGTCGGCCCAACACTTTGGAGGTGGAAGGAAATATTCTTATTCTACAGCCACCGCTTTGTTAGACAAACCGACCAACTTACACTCCATTATTATTATTCCATGATTTTGCATTTTTAGCATTTTAGCACAAATTTTATGAGCAGATCTGTGACTGAAATGTCCAAGTTGTGAAAGATAGCCAGAGCAGGACCATGATACATAACATATGATTCTGGATCTTGGCTGTGTGGTGATTCACTTGTCTCATTGGGCTTGTAGCAGCTCATACTTCTACAAATAACAGTGATGCAGACATAAACACATGCAGTTGGATAACTGCTGACACACTGAGAGACAGTGATTCACATAAGCAGATAGCGTTTCCTCTGCACGCACACACACACACACACACACAGAGGTTGATCACTCAAAAATAGTCTATGGTGGTGACAAAGACTGAAACCAGACTCCACAAGTCTGGCAGCATCCCTACCTGAGAGGACCATACCATAGTGATAAGATCAGGGATTGTTCCCCTGAAGCAGGATGACTGAGTGAAGCCTCAGCCCTGCTTTGTTCCTCTGGAGTCCCCTCTGTCCGGACTGGATTCATCTGTCTGGGCCAGCCTGTGCAGGGTCGCCTGGGGGTTGTGTAAATACACACTCACTCTGGGTGGGATGGAAGCTCAAAGGGATTTTCCATGACTCGCCCCGGTGAATGGAACGTGCCTTGCCAAACACACGCATCATCCTCCCAATCGCAGACATAGGGAGTCACTCAGGTTGCATCGCTTGAGAGTTGGACGTTTTCCCTTCGATTCATCTTTGTTGCTGCTGCCACCCCCAATTTCTGTCAGGACACCAACAGCAGTGGGTTTCCATATGATGTGGTTGTTTGTTGTGACGGTGATTCTTTCCCACTGATGTCATCTGGAGCAGGGCCACAGGGAGCAATTTAATATCTCTGTTTTTGGAATAAATGTTTTACTGAAATAAAGCATCAAGCTTACCAGAAGCACTTCCTGACCACATCATCTTACACTGAATAACTGTGGTTACAAAATGTAAACTATACAGACTTTATTGTGCAATTCATCACAATATTTTTATAACATCATATCACTTTCATTGCTGAGTTTACAAATCAACTAAGGTACTACACTTAAATATACAGTGTTGTCATCTGACTTTTCCTTTTTGATGAGTGCGTTTACTAAAATCTATTCAACAAGAGACAGAGTCCTCTCAGTTATGCAGTACATCCCATTTTGAAGACGCATCTGCAAAACCTGCTGTCAATGAGAATTGCTTATTTGAACAAAACACACACTCCATCTAACCTCCTGTCACAGTGAGTCCAACAACAATATTGCATGTTTCTCAAATGGCTCCCATCAGGAGATGAAACTCATAAATAATCATCGCCTTCACTTTGTGTACCCCCATCTGCATCTCCTTGGTGACAGGCGTGTTGCCAGCATTATTGCTCTCACAGCCGCATTGACGGGAGTGAATATTAATAAACGTCATCAGACTCAAAGGACCTGATTTGCTCAGAGTTGTTCTACAGTTTAGACCTCCGTGTCGTTCTGGGCAAAATATGACCCAACCGCAAGCTCCAGAGACTTCTGCAAAAATCGTTCACGATTTCTTTGGAAGATGTTACATTTTGTTCTTTTTAATCTCACGTTGCTCTTCACGTCTAGATGAGACAGTGGTGAGAGATAGATGCTTTGTAAAGCCATAAATCTCTCTCCCATGTGCCTTTTTGGGGAGAAAGCGTTCCTTCGGCTCATCTTCAAGTCTCAGTACTTTGACTGCACTTAGCCTAAGCTCTGTGTCAGTTAAGCCCACTGCATATTTGACAGTTATCAACCCTCTGACATAGTAAATGCGTGACATCATGGCCAATGCATGCCCCTGATTGATTGTCTGTTTTTGTAGCCTGACCCACGAGAAGGCCCAGGGTAGTAAGTCATGACCTTTATGTGTTTGGTGTTATCCCATGTGAATACATATTCAGAGCCACAGCACAGTTGAACAAACACACACAATTACTTACAGGCAATAAATAGTGTGACGGCACGCAGGATGCAAATGCACATTTCTGATTATTCCTTGCATCACAAAAAGTGGCATATTTTGCAACTCTATTTTAAATGCTCTATGGGGAGGAACATTTTCTCATCACATCATCCTGGCATGATGAGAATTTGTTGTATTTATTGGTAATGGCAAAGTTATTATTAAATGAAAAACATGTTAAGTGTTCAGACAAAAAGTATTTCCTGTCTGTGGTACTATCAGTTTATACTAATATGGGCTTGAGATCTCAGCTGAGCTTTGAACCTATCATTATTATGATACCAAGCCTGCCATCTAGTGGTTGTAAATCTGTACTGCAGCTGTTCAGTTTTTTTTTTTTTAAACAAAGAAGATTGTCAAGAACAAAGTAAAAAGTAGTGCATGTTTTTAAAGGAACTGCACTGTATGGAATTACTTTATTTCTTGTAGGGGGCAATTGAACCTCTTTAAACTCCTGTAAACTACTAGTGTGCAGCAACAGTTCCTGCAACATGTTTATATAAGGTAATGTCTTATAACAACAACATATGTGAACACTATGGGGACTAGCACAAGGTAGTTTGATCACATATGGCCAAAATGTGGGACATCCCAACATATTCACAGTAGCATCACTGTCTACTAAAGGTGGAAGTATAATACTCACCATCTCTGCTTTTCTCTCAAGGCTTTTCATGGATCTGTACTGGTGTAAATTAACTTTACTGAAGGATTCATTTCATTTTAAAGCGAGGGAGTGAGGCAAATTGTAACCGTTTGTTACATTCCACAGAAGCCAAAAGTTAAAGGTCCAAATGTGTATAAGTTTGCCTGAAGTATGTATTTGCTTTTAGTGAAACAACTCATGTTCTCAGCTTCATACCATGTCTGTTTTTGCTTATGAACTAAAAACTTTATTGCCCCTGGTGGGAGATTGGTTTGCTCAATGAGCCTTATAAAAACATCGAACACATAAAAATCAGACATGCCTTGCCATTTAAGCACTAAACATGAAGACAGTTTTTTTTCTTTTTAAAGCATCAGGGTAGAGTGTGGTTTACTTTGAAAGAGGTCAAAGGTCAGGTTGAGGCTACAGAACATATCGTAACTTGACAGACATTTCAACAGAACAGATGTTTGTTGACAACAGGTTTAATTTACTGTAAATTTAACTTTACTGTAACTCCACTGTATATATTTCTCTGGTATTTTGCTGATTCATTAAGGGTAAGGTATTAATATCATCTCACTAACATGCATCATTTACAGTACTGTATGTGGAGAAGACGCCAGTATAAAATATATAGAATGAACTATATAGAATGAACTAGCATCGTGGTACTCAGGATACAAATATAGTTCTTCTTACCTTTAAAGTAAAATGCTGCCAATGTGAGCTTATTGATTAGTAGAACCAAAAAAGGTTATCAGGTTCAAGGGAACATGCCGTGAAATGTTTGCATTGTACAAAATGATATATGCTATGGACTGAACACAGTAGGTTGAAACTTTGAAACATCACTTATATTTCATGATATGCAAGCGGTGATGATTTACATATGTGCATATGTGTGCAGGTCAGTCTTCATTCCTCTGGCTTAGTGTGATGTGACGTGGCAGAGGGGTATGGTAGGTTTTACTTCACTCCAAATGATCTTACAGGGAATTTTTTTTCTCAAAGCCATATTTACACCCTGTTTCACTCAAGCAGGAGTGTTTTCTATCAAGAGGAGAAGAAACACATTAAACCCCAAAGTCAGCCATTTACTGGAAAGTACAGTAGGGCTGTAGAATAAATCTTATTTTAGTCTTTATATGGCTTCAGGCAGCTTAGCACGTCTGCATTTTCTGCCAGAATGGTGACAACAGGACACATGTGGAACTGAGAAATAAATCCTTTTCATTTGTTCTGCTGCCAACTATAGATGAGATCTTTATTCCAGTCAACACGTGGATTAATGTGGAGAATGGCAGGTTTCATGAAGTGAGTAAAGAAATTCTTTTATTTGTTTTCTAATGTACTGAGCCAGAAAAATATATACACAGTATGGCTGAAATGAAATGTATAGGTAGGTTTCCAAAGACAGTAATTTCAAAAACAATACAAAACAAAACACATTGTAAATAGTAGAAGGAAAGTGTGCACTAAGGAAAAAGAGCAGAATACAAACAGTTCTCTAAATGTTACAACAACACTTGTCAAGAAATAATCATTTTTGTCTAGAATTTTTGAATTACATCCAGTGCATATCAATGTATACAAACTGTATTAAAACTATGTCTCTCACTGTATATTCATTGCTTCAATAATTTTAAAAAACATTTGGTAAAATTAGACTACAGAAAAAAAAGCAGTGACTCCAAGAAATATGCAACTCAAGCTGTAGGTGGCGCTGTTCACTGAGTGAGACAAGAGGGCTGAGGAAACTGTGATGGTGATGCCTGGTCTGCAGAGATCACAATTTCCACCACAGAAGAAGCAGGAGTCCATGTTGTGGAGAAAATCTGAGTTGTATGTTCTTACTGCTTTTCTCGCTGTGGAGACAGGGAAAATAATCAACTAATATTATGATCATCTGTCTCTCCTACTCTGTGTAAATCACAGTAAAATAATACTGGCAATTGTATGTTGAGTGATCTTGATTTTTTCCACAGTCCAACGGCAAGAATAATCTCATTTTAACAGCATCACAGTTAAAACAGCCAACTGCTTTTCATTTTCAGGTTTGTGTTTTAAACACATTTTGAATAAATGCATAAAACACGATGAAATTACAAGACTGTGTGTTGAGTGAAGTGAGTTGTACTCACCTGGTTCATAGTAGTCGTAAACCTGCACCACAGCATCCTGTACACGGGCCACTTTATAGTCTCTGACGACGGGAAGTCCGATGCAAACCTCTGAATTGGTAAGCTGCAAAGAGCCAGAGAAGTGAATGATGATATACTACTGCGTCTATACACACAATATACAGTGTAATAGTAATATTCCTGGTAGTACTTATGGTAAAATTAAGCCATGAAATAAAAATGAAGAGTTTTCTGGAGGCCAGTCTTATGGACTTGAAGTTGCACTCACAATTATCTAAAAACTACAATTTTCCTGCAACACATAGACTACTGTCATCCTGACCATGAAATGTTGACCTGCTGCTGACACACTTACTGAATCCAGGTACAGGTTTACTTTCTCGGGCAGTATCTCCACCTTCCTGATAAGATCTGTTGGGGCAGCGGCTCCAGGAGACAGGCTGAAACCACTGAGCATGCCCACGTCCAATATAGCCATACCTGTATGAGACTGTATCTGATGGTCCTTTAATCTAGAGAGCAAAAAAGCAAGAGGTCATATAAATTCAGAGCCCATTTGTTAGTTAGTATTTGATATGCATGACAAAACAACATAAAGATAAAAAGCACTCGAAATACAGGTTTATATTAAAATAAATGATACTGACTTGACATATACGCCTCTCTGTGTTGCAGTATTTACCTCATGCATATAGATAGCAGCATGTGATTGTGGTTTCTTTCTTCAGTAACACTGACATCCAATAAAAAAGCCTCCTCGTCTGAGCTGTGCCGGCGGCTCTGTGACAATGCTGTGCTCTCCACGTTGTAAAAGATATTCATCTGGATGGGTTCATGGAGATGAATGTAAAAACATATCCACGAAGAGTGTACAGTTCAGTTTATCGTATTATCTAGAAAACCAGAATCTGTTATACTCCTGAGAATACTCTATTCCATAAACTGAAAAATAAAGAAAATGTAATCTCTATTAGTTTACTTGCTTCTACATTAAAGTATTGAATTACAGACAGGTTAAAGCAGGGTATATAGCAGAGGGGATCTGGGATATAAGACAATATCTCATTGATATTATCCAGTAAACTACAGCATATGCTCCAGATGTTAATTGCTGAGTCATTCATTGTGCTGATTTTGCATTTAGCTGTTTTGGTTTCACATCTACAATGCAGCACATTGTGCTGGGTGAAGCTATCATGCACAGCTGCTGTGTTCAATTTATTCTGGTCATGCTCTGGTGGTTGGACTATACTTAATGTTGCGCTGAATATGTTGGAAGCATGGAAACATTCCTGTATTGTCAGGGGTAGTTTGGAGTTGTGGTGTTACATTTTCCTTCAACATGGGATGCTTTAGCAAAACAAAGAAGAGCAGATGATAGAACAGCAATGTTGTAAATCCTGTACCTGAAATAATGCAAATCCTCTTCCTTCCAGGTATATATTCAAGTGTATATCTTTGTCAGCATTAAGCTTGAAAACATAAAGTAAAAGTGGAACTTACAGGTTGGCAGTGGTACAGTAAGTACAGCATCATACAAAGTATCAAAAAAATATGTAATTATACACGCATTAGGCATTAACTGTGAGATTCTACACAGGTTTATTACCTCTTGGCTTTGATACATCCGATAGTTAGTGGAGTTGACACTAAACAGAGACACAAACGAAGACGCTGGAGCAGACACATTAAGCCTGAGGTCAATGGCGTTGGCGCCACCGAATGCAGCGTAGTAAGACACAGCCTGGAGGGCAACCACTGTGTCCTGAGGAAGGAAAGGGGTCACAATCAACTTCATGTCACCACACATATGGTCTGGTGCAGAATAGGGGGATATCTTTGTGATATGGTAACACATTTGCCTAAAGCTGTGATATAAAGCTATTTTCAAAACAGAATAACATATTATGAGTTTGCGATAAAAAAATATTCATGAAATTGGTGTTTAATGATAAGCACTCCTCATTTACGAGCTTTTTCCTTTGGCCTGAACCAAACAGTTTAGTTTAGTAACAGAATGAAGGTTTTGTCCCACCTGTGTTGTCCTGTAACCTCCCAGATGATTTCTCTGCTTACTTAACCACTTTAGAAGTGCAATGCCCTCAATAAGGGTGCCACGCCTAAAGAAAGCCAGCAGCACGTAGGAGGCCATTTCGATTTGCACTGAGCGCGGCTGCCAGTCATCTGACTTCAGCCCATCAGAGGATCTCCACATCATGACTCCATCTTTGGAATAAAATGACTCAATCAACATATGTACTGTATGTCCACATACTGCTCCTACAGATTTATCATGCAGCACAATGACAAACATTTACATGAAGTGCTTCATTGTTGCTGCTGCTCTTGATGGATCTGGATCTTAGGAACTTTAAGATCCACAGGAGTTTGATTATTATGTATTTTGTTTTTAGTTTGAAATCTCACCCACTACTCAGGCAGAAACATTCTAGCAACTCACCACATGGTGGTGCAATACAGTAACTTCCTACAAATTGCTCATCGCCTCTGGAGGTACCTGGAGGTACCTCACTATGTGAGTCGTGGTCTAAATATAAGACAAGAAATGCTACCTTTGATGTTAAGGCATGAAAGGTACAAATGCACCTTTCTCAACTTAAAACAACAGAAAACCTTTAATAAATTACCTGTGTTGTCAGCTCGCCTGATGAGCTCAGACAGGGCAGTGTCAGCCATACGACTGTTGGCCAGAACTAAAGCATATGCCACCAGACACAGGCTGTAGTTACTGACCACCCCGCCGGTCACTTGACTCTCCAGGTACGTCTGAGCCAGGGACACATTGCCTGGGTACGTTTCCTTCAACAGGAACCAGAGAAAAGGCCATTACTGTCAAATTACTTCCCTCCCTCACATACTTTAAATGACAGCCTTGAAATATTCCGTCATTCTCTCATGTAATTTCACCTTCTCCACTGACATACACACATTCCCTTGACGTACCGAATAGGTCTCCTCCTCCAGCAGTGCAATCAGCACATAGGCAGTGAGTGCCACTGGGCCATTATCCAGTCCTCCCTGCATCTCAGTGTGGATCAACCTGCCCACCTCACTGAACTCTCCCTGAGGCCCCTGGTGTTTCAAGAGCCAAGCCATGGCTCTGGTCAGGACACTGTAATCTATCTGCATGTAGGGCTGAGCCTGGAGGAAGCACCGCAGCACAAAGGCCGTCAGCCTACAACCAGAGACAGAGGTGGAAGCAGCGTTGGAGCCATGGAGATTACATTTCTATAGATTTAATGTATATCAATGCAGCACAAAAGATGAGAAGTTGCAAAAAAGACAATATTCTCTCAAACCAAACAATACTTTGGTATGAAAATAAAAGGAGTGCATGATTGATTAACCTTTTGCAAATCAAGCTTATTCACCTTTGTTTTAAGATCAACACTCCTGACTATTTGTACAAAATTCCTGAAGCAAGTGAGCACTGCATTAGAGATATGAAATGATTCCCACGTGCAGAGTCTTTCACCTGATTTACAATCAACCATCTGTCACATGTGTCATTTCCAGTGTACTGGTGACCTACCACGTGCTCCCAGAGGTGTCGCTGGCTCCAAAAGCACTGAAGGACCCATCGTCTCGTTGGTAGGACAGTTGTCTCCGATATCCTTACGGCGGATAATATAACATGTTCATATGACATGAAAAATAAAGTGAAAATCAGTAACAAATACCTACATTAATACAGTGAATTATCACTAAGAATTTGCTCTCTTATGTCTAAATAACATTAATATTACAATGTGTACACACTATACAGTGTAATTTACTATAAGCGACTATAAGTGACTCCAGTGAGTCATGTAAAGGCTGCTTACCCTCATTCATAACACCCAGAGCCCTGCTCCTGATCTCCTTATTTTCCAGGTTTGACTTTTCCAGGTACTGGAGAACATAAACACTTGGAGCAAAGTGGATCATGTTCTGCTCCCCACAGCCAAGAGGCATCTGAACCAGAGAATCCAAGTTGAAGGACAAGGCCAAGATGTCGCCTGTGTAAAGCAATACATGAGGGAAAGAGGAAGGATTTAACTGTTATATAACATGTTCACTAATAGGTTTCAGATCACAGACGGTCTGTGCTTCAAACATGATATCATGTCGTGTTTGAAATGTATGCTTCACCATTGCAGTTCAACTTTGGAAACTGTTGACCTCTATGTAAAAGAAAACCATGCTTTTGAAATGCCAATGCATTTAGAAAGTCAGAGCTGCGGTTTAAGTTGAAAAGGTATATGGAAGAATGGCGAATGGAAACAGCAATCTACAGTAGAGACAAAAACTCCATCCTGCACATTTGCTTGACGTTTAATAAAGCTGACTATCACAGCAAGCGTAGGAAAACCGCACTTTTGGAAAATCCCGAAGCTTACCCCTCTACCGTGACAAATGCCCAACATCCCTCAACCTGAATGGAGCCAAGCCAAACAGCCTGACAGATGTTCACAATCTGTCCACCATAAACAGTCCTGTTTGATGTCCATTTTTCAACATGCAGTACCTAAACATTTTCATGAGTTTGACACGCATATACCTAACTTCAACATCTAAACATATTACACATGCCTAATCGACTAACAGCAAATATAAAACTGCGCTCAGATGGAGCTGACGCTGACACAACAGGGAGGACAGATGGTGGACGTACCAACCAGCGCCACATGGGCCCTCTGGCTGCCCGGTACCATATCTGGTGGGAAGGAGAAGGAGAGGGTTCTGGTGTTGCTCTGCTTCTCTGGTGCCAGCTCCAGAAACAGAGTCTCTGAGAAGAACCGCTCCACGCCCTCAGGCTACAGGAACATGAAAGGAAGTCACTGTTATTGTCGAATTAACTGTATGTCATGTGGCACGTTGCATCTTATACATCCATCCCCGCCATTCTCAACCTCACAAAGGCTTCGCCCACTAAATTCATAGATACTATCCAATCTTTACATCCCAACATACCTTCACAAGCACTTTCCGGACTATGCTGTCTGAGGCCTCAGCACATACGGCGTCAACGGATATTTCCATCACACCCAGAGCTACAGGCCTTATAGGGAACAGGGCTGAAGTAGAGGCATGACTCCCTAAGGTGAGTTTTTGGGCATTTACCACAGAGACATCCCCTCTGTCTCCCAAAACAAACTCAAAGGCCTTGCTCTGTGCAAGCAGCATGATCACCTGCAGAGACAAACATATTGGAAGCAAAAAAAAAAAAAAAAAAAATTAGTTATGGAGTTTCTTTCTTCAGATGTTTCAGGCCAGAATATACCACAAATATAGTCTTTCATACCTCTATGTCCTGGTCTAAATGGTTGATGATGTTCACCTCTAGCACAATCTCCTCTCCCCTGATGAGGTACGACGGGACATTCAGAGACAATGAGAAATCTTTGGATACAGTCAGCTGTGGATGAGAGGACATAGGCCAGCTCAAAGCAAACAATACTACAAAAACAAAAAAAGAAAGCACCATTAGACTTACAAAATATCAGTCAGATTTATTTGACTATTAGTTAAAGCTACAATATATGGGATTTTTTTTTTTCTTTGGTTTGTTTTCAGTACAGGAAGTGCGTGAACAGACTTCAGTCCTTCGAGTTTCTCTGAGTGGCAGCAAGGGGAAGAACTGAAAATCAGATTAACATCACTTCCCTTGTCTAGACAAGAGAAGTGGCCCACAGACAGAGAAGCACAACATCCACTCTGCAAAACAAAACAACAGGACTTCTGGAGTATATATATATATACACTAGTATATAGTGGCACATGCTGAGTATTAAGTTACCTTCACTGGCACCGGAGTGAAGCCCAAACCCAGGTTGTCTGACATTACCAGTGCTACAGCTCTCAAAGAAGTAACACCGTCTGGCACTGTTATTGTCCCGCTTGTCCAAGTGTTATCACTGATAGAAATGACAGAAGAAAAAAAAAAAAGCATGACACAGAATTTATTTAACATGTTTTGTCCTAAATATGGGAACACAGTGAACTGAATGCAGATCACTCATTTTAATCTCCTACCCCAACAACATATGCACCTTTCAGCTCTCACCTCACATTAGTGTCTAACCACAGCAAGGTTTCAGCAGCAGCCGTCCACTGGCTCCAGTACTTCTCCACCAATAGGACATTTCCTATTGAAACCCCCCCCAAGTGAGTGAAAAGAGATCAGAAGAAGCCCAGGCCGTGTTTATATCTAAAGACTGAAGGTTAAATCTACTATTATTGAAATCATGGGATCGATACAATGTGCTAAATGGCCACAAGAGGGACTCCAAATACAGAGTAGATGCTATATTGCAGGACTCACTGTGTAATTTATAATCATACCATTTTTTGGTCCATCAGGCTGCTTTTTCTGATACAGTCTGGCATTGGTCAGAATCCTAATGTGACATTCCTGCTGTGTGAAAGACACAAAAAAAAGATGATAAAAATGTGTTGATGTAAGCTGCTGAAAATACGACCACAAACAGTGTTATCTAGATGTGCACCACCATTGAACCCTGTACAAAGTGGTCCACCGTCCGATGATACATCATTAGTGTGACAGCCTGTGGAAAATAGGTCAGGTCTTGGCAGGTGATGTAAGGTGCAAAAGTGTCTCAGCTCTTGTAGGTGCCTGAGGAGATCTCGGCTTTTAAATGATCTATTCGACCAGACACAATACGCGCTGCCAGAGCTTTGGAGATGAGAAAAGGTCATCATAAGACCAGTCACTGTGGTGAAGTATCATTTCCTCCATCTTGCATCCATCAATAACCCTCAGGACACACACCCAACACACTAGAGTTACCAGCTCTTAGAAACAGCAGAATCATCTCCTAACAAAGCAGACAGATAGGTTACATCCAGACCGACTGGTTTAGCGGTCACACACTGAATAGTCATAGAGTATCCAACTGAGGAAAGTGTGTCTTTTCAATTTTCCAACAGATTAAGGCAACTGGGAGAACTGGTGCTTTGTAATTAGACTGAAATGGACAAAGGAGAAATGAAGTATATCTGACAGTATCTAAACAGGTGACTTTCTGAAGGAAGTTCACAGAAGTTTACGTTTCAGAGATTGTATTTTGCTCTTTTGTCAAGGCTTTTAGAGCACAGAAACTTCCAGGTTCCTATCGAGTGACTCTAAATCCCAGCCGCAACACATAAACTAATCAAAGTTTTGAAAGGGCTTTGGCAAGTCAAAAGAGTTGCCATACCTGCTTCACTTTTAAGTCCTGGTCATCCTCTGGAGTGCCGTCATCATGAGCCCCCATTACCGCAATTCCCACCTGGGACCTGGGCTCAAGGGTAGTCACAGTGAGTGATACCTGTTCACCTGGCTGGGCCTCGTCACTGCTCCACTTTAGCGATAGCTGAGGAAAGCGAACACACGGGCGATCACAGGAATGTCCCGGAGAACCACGCACCCTTTTTTGAATAATACAATAAAGTAGAGTGATAGAACAATAAATTTAAGTACATCGCTGTGTTGATTGATGGGTATGTGCGCCGTGTCACTGGTGACCTCTCCATTCGAGAGGATGCAGTAGACAGTGACAAAGGCCTCAGGGGACCAGGACAGTGTTGGGGTCAGAGGAAAAGGGGAGGAATTCTTTGTTCCAGCGGCCACGACCTGACCTCGAGAGCTCACCTGGAAGTATGACAATAGAGACGAAGAATCTGTTATAAGCATTTGACCACAATCCTCCTCAACAGCGTCCACTGTAGTGTACAGTATTTGCAGTATTATCAATTTAAAAACGGCAGTCAGAACTAAATGTAGAAATATCAGAGGAGGAGACTGATATTCTATGTGTGTAACACAACACACAACTAAAAAACTTCCAGGAAATGGAGTGAATTTGGAAACTGCATCCTGAACAGCAGTGTTATAGATTGCACGGTAAATGATAAATGCTTATCATTCTCATATCTTCAGGTCGTGTTAAAAGATTTACATTTTTAGGAGAATATATATTTAACCTTTAGTACTTATTCAAGGTTATGTGATAAGGACAGTAAGATAAAGTATCTACTGATTTCCAGCAGAACAGCAATAACTACAAACTGATACAAACGCGTGCATTGTTTGATATATTTCACCAAACGTACCACAAAGTGAAGCGCAGTTGGTTTAAAGGTGCTCTCCACGTCTATTTGAAGAGGCAATCCAATCTGAAAGTTGAAAATATTATGTAACATATAATATAGCTACATGATTAACATCATAATTTAGAACATACATACATTATGACAAAGCTAAAGGTTACCTGTGCAGGTAAGGTATCGATTGGGGAGATCTGAATATATGAGCCACTAGGGGAGGAGTAGTTGTTGTACACACTCAGAGTCTCCTCACTGGATTGGAATCTGGCCTGAATATAAACACAACATTAAAAAATATGAACCACAATAATCGTTTGGGGTTGTAGAGAAGATGGTGACAATCTTTGAATCAGAATCTGAGCTTTTCTTACACTTTAATGAACTTTACAGGTCCTGGGGTCATTTTTCGTACTGGTAAGCAAGTGTGTAATCTTACTGTACTGAAACTACTCATCTTACACATAACGAAACTGCTGAACACCACTTTCCCCCGCCCTGAAAGGACCAACATCCTAGGTAAATCAAAATACTCACCCGCATAAAAAGCATCTCCACTTGATCCTGCAATTTAAACTTAATGTGGACGTTCCCGTCCTCGGGCACCGGGACTGTCAGGGTTGTGGGTTCGGCGTTCATCGCGGACTTTCTCTGTGTGACCTCAACCACAGCCGAGTACATGAGATCCTGTGAGCTCAGAGGCCTCCTGTCGTATCTAGAGATCCTGAGCTGCGGAACACAGAGAAGGTAGTTAGCTCCTGGAAAGCGCAGTTTGAAATAACTGTCACATAAACAGAGTGATACTAATCCACTCACTTTTGTAGAGAAGTGTAAGGATGGTCTAAGTGACGGTGGGAAATCATGGAACATAAGCTGGTATGTGTTCTGCAAAAGGTGGACTTCAACTGTTTTGTTGACTTTAACTCCTGAGGTGACAAGAGATCATATCACTCAGTGGTGTGAAGAAGCAAACGGAATCCACTTCATACTTATATATAATAAACACTGTTTCAAAGTCCATCTCACCAGTAGAGCTGATGGTAACACAAGCAGCAACATGTACGCTGCTCATTCCTGATGAAGTGTGTGGGGCTTGGAGTTGATCTTTGCTGAAGAAAAACTGTGTTGACCCATAGATCTGAAAAACAATGCTCTAAAGTTAGCCAGTGCCATTATGTCGGCAGATCCTTGGAACTATAAGGACAATAAACCCTCACCTCTTTGGTTTGTGTTAGCACGTGTTGAGAAGCTGCATTATACACATCAGGTGGCAGAATGACTGAGACAGCTAATGTTCCCCGTACAGGTTGTCCACTGGGGAAACTGAAGAAACAAAACCCAAACTGCCTCAGTGTACTTTTTTTTTTTAACCACATGTGATGTTAATGAGCTAACTGAACTCACAGTGCTCTCACTGATCCGGAGATGTCACCTCCAACAAGGACCCGTGAAGGCGTCTTGACCAGCACTTCAAACTGAGGACCCTCTGCAACAACAGTCGGTAAAGATGTTGAAATGGCAGAAATTAAAAGACAGGTTTACGTTTTTACAAGTTTATCTTGAATGGAAGTTTCACAGTTTTTCCAAGTCAGTCTTAAAAACAAAAGTCAGGTGCTTGTATGACATTTTGCGTTGTGTAATCATCCCTCTTGTTTGCATTACAAGATCCGTCCCCGACATGCTTCCAGTGTAAGTGATTGGGGACCCACAGTCTTCAGTCTTCAGAGCATAAATGCATTAAAAGCTTTAGCAGATAAATCACCCAAAAGTTACAATTTATTTGGTTTCCCCAGACACAAGTGTGTCCATGCTGAGCTGTAGACGAGGGATAGCAATAAAATGAGGGAATTTGTTCCTAATGAGGCTGTAACCTTGGACAATACCCACTTGGTTTGTCTAGCTGAGACTGTTGATGCCTCACATTAACTTTGGATTTGCATTTTTACACAGCAGGAGGACTGTTTGGAGTTGGATAACAGGAATGTTTACAATGGGCCTCTCAGTGTTCGGCACATATCAGCTTGTCAGCACTGTGTTAAGACAGAAAATCTGAACCTCTCAAAAAACAAAATCATAGGTCTGTTACCATGATGCTCCACAGTGAATGTTTTCTCATGATTCACGCCCTGTAGCAAAGAGGATAAAGAGGTTAAATTGGCAGTTGTGTATTTTTAATTCAAATATTAGTCTTTTAAACAGACATACAAAGGGTAATTAAAACAAAAAATTCAACCTTACGTTCACTGTTGTTGCGATCGCCCACTCTCCAAGAGGAGCTGACTGGGATAAACTGAATTCCCGCAAAACAATCCCCAGATTCCCTGTGGACTCCCACCTGTCGACAACATTCCCACTGGGATCCTGCGCGTGACAAAGGAACGTCAGTCAAACTTCCCACCGCCACACAATGCCTGGCTAGAAATCTATCCAGCTCCTGCGGCTTTGTTCTTTCTCTCTCTCACACACACTCACACACTCACACACACACTCACACACACACACACACACACACACACACACACACAAAGACAAAAAACCTACCCGTACAGAGATATCCACTCTGCCTTTGTATGGATGGTTATCCATCTGGACAGACACAACTCTGACTCTGATGGTATCGCCTGGCTGGCAGCGTGATCTGTCCGTTTGGATGACGGAGGAGACATTCTTGAGGTTGAAGCTGAGGGTGGTGGTGTTGGAGAAAATCAGACTGTCACCCTTGTAGCCTCTCACCGTCAAGTTTAAGAGAGAATTCTGCGTTACGGAGCCGGGAACCTGGAGCGAGTTTAAAAGCATTATCAGAAACATAAACGTGATATCAGGCTTAGAAAACATTAAGCATTATTCTCTTGTCCGCGGGAAAGTAAAGTAAATATACTCACAGGAGGGAGTGTGAGGACCCTGGTCAACCCTTAAAAACAGAATGATGCTTTAGCGCTTGAAAAAAGTCAAAAATCATTATGCAGATCAACCAGAAATCTATTGCAGTGTGATGGCGGTGTCACCTCCTTGGAAGTCCTCCGTTTGGCCTACGCTGGTGTTGCCATGTGCCAGTTCAGCAGTCACCCTGCCGGGGAAGTGCGCAAAAACGGTGACAGCCAGCGGAGTGGGTGTCCCAGCATGCAACACGTTCGGACCTGAGATCAGAAACAATGTCCTAATAGAGGGAGGCAAGAAAGGGGTGTTATCGATCAGTCAGACAACTCTGTTTGTGCTGCGTCGGAAAAAAAAGTGTGAATTTGGAATGACCTGGATACGTTATATTTAATTGGTAACAAAAGTGTAGACAAACAAAACATACGTAAGCTAATATCACACAAACCGTTGTAATCTTACCTGTCTCTATTGAACACAGCCATTAAACATTCACACTGCTGTTGGAAAATGTAAGTGAACCTTTATATCTAATAACTGGTTGAACCTCCAATTAACTCCAACAAGCTCCTCCAGTTGCTGCTGATGAGACCTGCTCAATGTTCAGGAGGAATTCTGAACAGGGCTTTTCTTCTTTATAGAGCTGCTTCGGCTCCGACATTATTCTCAGGATGTCTGGTGTGAGCAGCTCTCTTCAGGTCATTCACAGCATCTCTATTGGATTAAGGTCTGGGTCTCTCTGACAGGTGGATTGTCTTTGTTTGAAGTAGCTTTACTTTGATGTTTAACGTCATTGTCCTGCTGCATCACTCAACTTCTCCTGACCTTCAGCAGGTGGACAGACAGACTGACATTATCCTGGAAGATACCTCGATAAACTTGTGAATTTATTTTCCCCCTCGATGATGTCGAGCTGTCCGGGCCCAGAGGCAGCAAAGCCTCAGATCCTGGTGCTCCCTCCCTCCACCCTGCTTCACCTTTAGGATGATGTTTTCATGGTGGTATCCAGTTTCCTTTCTCACACCATATGTAGTGCTTCATGTTCTTCCCACACAAACAATTCAACCATAGCTGAAAAAACATTTTCTGGTAGAGTTGAGGAGAGTCAAGAGCGCTTCTTTAGCAAACCTCAGGCATGTATGTAATGAGTCCTGCCATGGACACCATGCAACCCTGCTCCAGGATTTGTGTGTGGTGGACTCATGAACAGAGAAGTTAACCAGCTCCAATGATCATTTTCCTCTGAGGTTCTTTGTTGCATTATGAAGATCATTCTAAAAAAGGATTCACACACTTCTTCTTGCCACGGTATTTAAAATATGAATTTCGGGTGTTCTTTGAACTTGTTGTTGTGATTTCATTTGCAACAAACTGTACAACTTACCTGTTTGGATCCTGAGTCGAACCAGGCACAGCAAAACACACAACTCCCAAACACAGAACCAGGGTCCAGATCCCATCCATGCTCCTGTTCCCTTCTTCGTCAAACATCCGACTTTTCGCTCCGATGCCAAACTACTGACGGCGTCTACTTACACAAGCTCAACTGACCTGGAATATATGTGACAAAACTCCACCTCCTGTCCTCACACCAACACCCATCACATGTTCACACACACACCAGCATGCGTACATATTATCACATATATTCTTTGTTACACACAATGGATAAGTGAAGTCGGGGGGTGGGGGTGTTCACGCACTCTTTTACGCCTTTGCCCAGGGGGGAAACATCTCATCTATCTATTCAGAGTCTGACAATTCCCAGTCATGTCCAAAGCACAGAGAGAGACACTCTGGTGTTAGTGTGTCCATGCTGAGAAGGAAGTACGTCTTGAGCGCCAGGAGGAACACAACTCTGGATGTGATACGCGACACAAAGCCACCTGGGAGTTTAATTCTTGGCATGAAAATAAGAGGCTGCTATCTGAATCTGGATTGTTTTTCGTAAACATTTTTACTACTTTCTAGCTCTCTCCTTGGAAAACAAATCCCTGTTATCACACTTCAGCTATCTGGTAAACAGGTTTGACATTTTAATTACTTTGTGACAACGCAGGGTGTCAGGATGGCAGAGAAGCGGGGGTGATAATGAGGCTTTGTCTTGGGAGAAAAATGTCGATGGTGGATGGAAAATGCAGTTAACTTTGTCCCTATGCTCTCAGTCCAAAAAATAAAAAAAATAAATAAAAACAGCTACGACTACTGGTCTTACATACTATTAAACTGAGAGAAAGATGTCGTATTGTTGTTTGTTGTGACAGTTTCATACAGTTTCACAAAAATACGGGTTAGTACACAAAGAGTTTGTGGCAAAAAAAAAAATTGCAGCGTGGAGGAGAACCGCTGACATTGTGGGAGCATGTTTTAATCACTGAGCAGTAATTCAAATTTTCACTGAGGAAACATGATGGGACAAGCACAATGACAGCCTGCATTAACTCTTGTTTACCAGCAGGAGGTAGCAGATTCAAGGCTAACTCCTCACCTTTAAAGCTTTAAACCGGAAGGGAGTTGGGAGTACTTCACCGAGCTGAAAGCCAACAAATAAGAACCACTTGATCATGTGTTTACACAATACTCACACGTTATTATTTGTTTCATATTAATATTTTATTTCTTTGGTATCATGTTTTTTTTTTCCCCACACTAGTTACATATAAACATGTTTTACAATATAAGGTTTATTTGTCCAATTATTTGGCACGTACGACTTTGGCAACAAACTCGGCTTCAAACATGTCGTAACAATACCCGGTGTTTAGTTTCTCAGCACTGGTGAAATATGACAGTGTGTTCGTGCATCTGTGAGGATTCAGGTGGAACGTGACATTGTGTTGAAACCCGGATTTTCAAGCCTGTGTCAGCTTGTTTTTTTTTTTTTTGCTCTATGTCACGCCTGCAATGCACGTCCCTGAGCACCTAAACAGCACTGGCACACTTGTGATAACATGGAGGCACTTTTTAAGGTTTTGATAACTGCCACACAGTCTCAGTGTTTCCTGGGAGCAAACATCTACTGCCATTCAAAAACAAATCTTCTGACTGGTCTGCAGCCTTGCTACTGAATGCCTACTGAGCTTTTAACAAGACTACAGCAGTTCTGTCAAACCTGCACTGTACATTATTACATTCTTACACAAACAAAGTGCTGACGAAGTGCATATTTACAGAGGGCTAAAAAAGGCCAAGAACAAGAGGAATCTCTGGAAAGCATCACATACAAGGTTAAAGGGGAAAAACATAATTGACAAAAGACATGTAATACAGTACTTTCTGCCAGTGAAGTACCAGTGTGGAGACATACACAGTAACTCACTCTGTACATACACCATACTCCACATGTTCTGAATTTCCAGAAGTTGGTCAAGCATGACCTATACTTTGAAAGCTACAGTATGTAATTCTGCATTAAAAAGGCAGTGTTTTGTTGATCATTCGCTCCTCCTCCTCCTCCTCCTCCTCCTTCTCCTCATCCTCATCCTCCTCAGCTGGTCAGATGCTTACCTCTGCACTTTTCACTCAACTGGACAAGCTCTCTACTTCCACCGTGTCGGAATTCCTCAGACTACATGCAGACGTATGTGAAATGCCGGCTGATTAAGAATATGAAACTTATACGAATGTAAATTCTGACTGTGGAGTCAGTGGTAACAAACCAATCAAATCACTTCCTCTGCTTTTCGTATGACAGCTAATAAAGCAGAGAGAACTTCAACTCACAGCAGCAAATTAAAATTTCCAAAGTATTATTTCTTAGAGAAAGGTGTGTTTCGACACACACACACACACATATATATATATATATATATATATATATATATATACTGTATATATATATATATATTATTGTAACAATTTAATGATGTAATATGTCTTCAACAAAAGGACTAAACAAAGATTTTCGTCCAGCGTTACCAACACACCTGCTTAGCTGTGAAAATTTGATGGTAAGTAAACACAATTATTCAGTAAATATGTTAAGTATGTCCAATGTGCTACAGTTTTCCACAACTCCTTTTGCTGCCTGAGCTGTAACGTCACATTAAAAGTTAATGGAAAAGACCAGAAAACAGCAGAGTTTATGTCTTCTGGTAATGATGGCTTTTTGTCACTGTTATTGTTTCTAAGATATCCGGCACTTAAACAGCAAGAAAAGTAATTAATGTCTCTTTTTTTTTTTTTTGCCAGAAAACAGAAGACAGAAAAACAGTTTCTCCAGTTTCCCGACACCTACCAAAGGCGTGGTTTAGTATTCAGGGAGCTGTCATCATGTTTCCTTTGATGAGTCCTTAAGGATCCAGTACGGGATTGTCTGTCAGTTCCTGCAGCAGTCACATCTCAAAGTGACGGTACACGCTCTCCACGTAGCTCAGGACCCTTTGCCAGTCAGGACCACCTGCTCTCAGCATCTCCTCCACTGTCTGCCAGACAAAGATTTCAAAGAAGTTCGTAAGCTCAAACTCAACCTTCATAGAAAAGTCTGATGAGGCTTTACTGTACAGTCATATTTGTAAAAACACCGGGGCGTACCAAGGTTTGTGAAATCCCAACAGTCTCTCCTGTTTTGAATGCCAGACTGAGATTCTCCTTCTGCAAAGAAAAGAATGAATCGATAAGTTGAACGCCATAAATCAAATGGTGCTATTCGTTGCACAGGCGGCAGGCACAGTTCCTACCTTGTTCTCTGGAGTAAGAGTGCTGTAAGGGATGTGTGAGGGGAGGTAGGTGTGGTAGACAGCACAGAAGGCGAGACCATCAGCCCAGCTGCTGCTGAAGTTGGTGATGTCAATATTCTGCAAGGAAAAGGAATGACGGAAAGGGGAACAGCAAAGAGTTCCAGTGGTTTCAGTTGGTAAGTAACCATTTGAAATTTAGGTTTTTAAAGACTTAAGACTTTGGAAAACTGGAATTCTCACTTCTTCTGAGAAATATTAAAAGTATTGTGACATCTCATCAAGGCTGAATTTCAAGAAGGTAAATCAGGAAATTTATCCGGTACGTATGACGACATACACTACAACCCATGCAAAGAACTAATTCGACATATTCCCTAAGGTGAAACTGTCAGATATCAATACAACATTAGCTGCTGCTTGGAAAAGAAAACTTCTTTCATTAATCTACATGAAATAAAATGTAAATTTACATAAAATATAATCCAGTTCAGTTTCAAAAATATGTACAAAAACCAAATCCAGGATCACCTTATAGCCTTGTGTTCGGATCTGACACCAGCGGAGAAGCGAGTTTCTCTTGGAGCCTCCATGGCGACGCAGCAGCGGGTTGAAACCATCCTGGGACCTGACAACAAGAAACAAACTGCTGAGAGCCTTGTTGTTATGCGCTAACATTTTGTGGAAGTATAAATAAAATAAAAATAAATAATAAAAATCTTCTCACATACAGTAGTTAACTTTGGTATTGAAAGAAAAACTTAATTAACACATTGATTCAGGTGAGAGAGGTGTTTTGGCCCCAATATTGAGCTTTATGAGTTCAGCAGACAAATGTACTTGGGTCAAGACAAGTAATTAGTTTTACACAGGATGTAGCAATTAGGTTGGTCTCTTGGAAACAATGGTCTGTCAGTGTTCAGTGTGTGTGTGTGTGTGTGTGTGTGTGTGTGTGTGTGTGTGTGTGTGTGACTGTGTGTGGACTCACTTGGTGGGAGGTAACTCCGTGAGGGCAGAGTTGTACTTGTTTAGAGATTCCTCACGTTTTCCTGCAAAGACGAGCAACAATAGAGCCTTACCTAACAGCGAGTCATGATTATGAACAGGCAGTGCTGAAAGGAGAGACATTTAATCACACAACCCGTGACACATCTACATGTTTTAAAGCCGCATTAAATCATTTTTTGGCCACTTGGGGGGGGGGGGGGGGGGGGGGGGGCAGCGTCTGTTTAGTGCTGAGCAGGGACAGTACAGCTGGTTTATTAAAAAAAAAAAAAAAAAAACTTTTATGGTGAAAAAAGCTGTCTGCTGTTGATGGAAATGACATTATAAGAGTAGTGGAATCGAAATGAATAAAGTTGTGGAACATGAAAAACAAAACAATAAGAAAAATGATCAAATGTTCCATAGAGTTGAGGGATACTGCAGAAAAATGGGTCATAATTTCCTGTGGCTTTGTGTTTTATGTGCCTCTCCTTTCATATTACACATTACATCATTTGAGCCACTGTCTATAAAACAATGTTGATTAGTGCACTGTGGAATTTTCCTGTAAAAGAATGCATGTTTATGTCCAGTGTTTTTTACCAAAACGCATTGTGCAAATTTTTGAGGTCTAACAAATGTGCACCACATTTCCCTCCTAATAAAACATTTGTAAAGCCGATCTTTTTTTTTTAATTATTAGAAACCAAGCACTGTTTTCATCACTAGTTCTCTTCTTCATTGCCTCTGTTTGTTCTTCTTTGAGCATTTCCACCATCAAATGTCATCCAGGAGAATTACAATAAAAAAACAATGATGTGTGTATATTTGGTTTGGCCGCACGCTCAGGCGTGTGCATGTTCGTCACTGTGCGTCCTCCTGCGAATGCACCACACAAACAAAACGGGAAGCCATTTTTTTTTAAATCACTGCTCAACAGCACCATTAGTGGTCAAAACCTCAGTGGGGTGCCTTTAACAATTTTAGGATAAAAATTTGAAAGTGAAATAACAGCTGTACCGCACACACTAAGATAATGTGACACATTGTACACAAGCATTTTGCACACACACTCACCTATATCAGTGTTTGACCTGCTGTCTTGCCAGTCCAGACTTCTTCGGCCTCTTAGTTGCCCTAAGTTCTTGAAAACAAACAAAATTCATTAAAATTAGGGCAAAAATCACTGCATGTAAAAAAAACCACTGATTAGGTGCATTTACTGGCCAACAATGAATGAACTACTAAATAATGAAGAATCTTCCTAAAGATAAAGTATCTCACCTTGTTTGTGGGTCCGACCGTTGTGGCAGTGTTGGACTGCGAGGTTCCATTCTGCACGGTGAGGGAGTCTGAAGAGGCAGGTAATCTGGACAGGCTTCTGTAATATTACAACACACAGTGAAGAGAACAGACACAATAAACCGAACCAACTGTTTTGTTTTTCTAAGGGCAGCTATTCCACTCAACTCCAGCCAAGTGGCCCTGTAAAAGCCTGTGGATTGAGTGCAGCACATTCAAAAGAGGCCACAATCACAGACAGACCTGGCCAAATTTGGTCATTGTTATCCATTCCTGCATGTGGTGTCAGAGACAAAAAATGTTTAAGACGGGAAAGAGGCTTTGCTTTTAAATATCTGACTGCCTGAACGCACTGAGGAGCCACCCACACAAAATGATGCATTAGTAATGTGCTGCAGAAGTTACCACTTGTTTTTGTGTATTCCCCAAAAAGCACAAAGTAAAATAGTTTATCGCACCTTGACCTCTCTGTGGTTACCGTCCTTCGTGTCTCAGTGGATCGCGCCTCCTCTCCGCACCTGTCCTCATTGGTTACGTTTCTCAGGTAACGTTTAGCCACACCCTTACAGCCTGTTCTCGCCTCCTCGCTGGCAACAGTCTTCGTCACGTCATTCTCACTCCTAGTCTCCATCGCTTCTCGCCCCAGCCGGTGCGCCGCCCTATCCACGCCCCTCTGGGTCCCTTCTTTGCTGTCAGAAGCGTTGGTTGGTTCTGCGTTGGGCCTCTCTGGTTCCTGACACGGAGCCTGAGCATCAGTTTTGCCTTGAGCCTGGGTGAGAGTCGCCAGCCTCTGCCTGCTCTCCTTTAACTCCCCTCTCAGGGTGACCAGCTGCATATCAGCCTCCTTCTGCCTCTGCTGGGCGGCAGCCAGCTCCCTCTCGACATCCTTGTGCGCCGTTCGAAGCGCCGTCAGCTCCTCTTCTGCCTCGGCTCTCAGACGGTCTGCCACTGACACCGCCACCTGGAGGTCGGCCTGGAACTGTAGCCATTCCCCACGCTCCGTCTGGAAGGGGAACACAGTGTGTGTGGGTGTGTTGTTATTCCATCTGATTGAAGATGCTTTGTAGTAATGTCTTTTTTAAAAGATACAGATGAAGGTACACAATTAGCCTTAACGTGTCAGCTCGTCTGGTCTTTCTTTCTGAATGTTTTGTCTCTGATTTCGCCTCTCACAACACCACCAGCCACTATATTTAATGCTCTTACCGTGTTACCAGGGTTTATGGTGACCTTTCTCTACACAAAAGTGTACTTGACCCCCACATTTCTGCTAAATATTTCAAATCATATAAATGTTAAACACCTCTGTACTTTACTGAGGATGTCAATTTGATTCAAGATGAATATGTACTGTAGGTAAATCAATACTAACGAGACCTCTGAGAGCTCTGTGAGGCTGTACATGCCATCTTAGTTCAACATGGTAGCATGGGAATGACTTTAGCTTTTCAGGTATGGTCACCAGGCAAAGTACTGGACAAATCATACAAAGATTTTGATGATGACACTAAAATGTTAAAGGATTGCCAACGACATTGCAGTTCATCGTGACGTGTTTAGCGTGGCGAACAAATTTCACACTCTGAAAAACATCTTCTCTTATTTAAATCTATTCCTGGGTCAATAATATATGCAGCTTGTGTTTTCATGGCAGTACTGTATAAATAAGCTGCTACACTAAGACAAGGATTATTATACTGCAAGTCATTTTCTACAATCACTCCATACACAGGATTAAAAGAGGCATTTTTAGAGGCAAACTGGGTCTGACTCCCCTAAAGCAGACATAGCTGAACCCTCTGCAGACAATGACTAATCAAATGAAATCAAACGAGCAACATTAGGAGACCAACTCATTAGGACAACTCATTAGAAGGCTACAAGTTGAACTGAGCTGAGTGGCAAGCCTCAGCAAGCAGAGAGGAATGGCGCTGGCAAGTCATCTCTAATGAGGCAAAACTGAGCCGAAAGGTTTTACTCATGTCATCTAAAATCAACTAACCGAGAAAGCGGAAAAAAAAAGACCCCAAACAAGTCTGGACAAAGACAGAGAAAACACATTTAAGCAACATTTTGGGAGCATTGTGAAATTGGCTTCTGTGTCACCATCCCTGTGGTTCAATAAGTGTTTTCCTTGTTACCCACTGTTAGCCATTAGAAATGAGCTGCACTCGATTCAGTTTCAAGATGAGTGGTAACTAAGGGAGAAAGAAAGTCCGCAGTTCTCCTTCTTTAAGAGTATTATTGCCCCGGACATGCACAGACATCAAAAGACGCACTCGGACCCAGTGAAGCCAAGAGGTAAACGATACCAGAGTATTAAAAAACCGTTAAGTAACCATCATCATAAAAAGGAGAGAGGGAATGTGAAAAGGGAAAAGAAGAGAGGAAGGACAATAAAAGACAGATTTAACAGAGGAAGCATACAGACTGTGGCTCAATGTTAGCAAGGGTGATGTGAGGGAGACCGTTGAGGAGCGGAAAGGTTGGGAAGGTCGGTAATTAGATGAAGAATGGATAGAGATGTGGAGGAGGAGGAGGAGGAGGCACTATCTGAGCCAAGTCGCTCCCTCATCTGACCAGTGACTCAAGACCACAGCTGGACCCGATTACACACGCACACACACAAACACACGCACATATCATATTCCCCCTCTCTCTCTCTCCCACACATACACCTCCCTTATTCTTTTACCTCACCACCAAACCACATTGTTAAGTTTTCTCACACACAGCCACACATTGAGGGTACATGCGCCAAACGAATAGCAGGGTAGTGGGTCTCTGTTTGTAGTTCTATATTAAGGAATACTAAAAACGCCCGCCACGATTGGCAGGATGTTGTCTTCGCAGAGTCTTTTGCTATCTGAACGTGGACACTCCAACTGGAGCATGTCTGTTTAAGGAAACAGGAAGGGGCGCTCCTCAGTTCACACTGAGATAAGGGCGTGGATTGACAGTCTTGAGGCACACATGCTCGCTCAGTCCCTTGAGACCTGACCTAGTGCCCCACTGCATGACCAGATGTGGTGTCCGGCATTCACATGGCAACACACACAGATACACTTGTTGTCTGTACTGTTGATTCACATCTGATTTCCTGACAGTTCCTGGAAAGGCTCCAACACACTTGGAGATCTGTGTGTGTGTGTGTGTGTGTGTGTGTGTGTGTGTGTGTGTGTGTGTGTGTATTCTAACCATCTGTCCCTATTTCACCTCCACACCCAGTCTTTCTAACACATACTTGGGGAAACATCCCAACTCTGTAATGGCTCCACTCCTCAGCTTTTCACAGTCTGTGGTGTGCATTCAAAAACTGGTTGAATACACTCTTGTGCCTATTAAGAGACATTCACTCCCCCTACAGCAGTCACACACATGCACTGTACAAAATGGCCAAAATATCCCCTGAATGGCTACTGAAAATAACTTCAGAGAGCCTACAAGTTGCATATCTAAATGTCCTTAGACATCAAAGAAAAGGGTCCCGAGTCACTACCATTTACTCTGCAAAGCACATTTGACACAGTATGCACACAAGCCCCTTCCTCCAACTCCCTAATTCTACATGCAAACAGCCTCCGTGGCCTCCTCCAGATACAGGGCACGTTTTGAGTCTGGTTTGCTGGGGTATGCCTGGCGAGGAGAAAAGAGAGCAGATAGAACCTGGAGATCATTCCAGGAAATCTCCGGCAGCGTTCACCTGGAACTGATTCCAAAGCAGTGCTTTGAGATCAACTAAATGTCCAGGAGGGAGCACAAATCTGACATGCCACCCACTAGTCAGCCATGAATGGAGTGTTTTCATTTTTGTTGGTTAAGACAATTGGAGACTGGTGGTGCACATAAGCACACACAGATGGTACATTGGATAACTTCCTTAGTAGTTTGCACATCGGGTAATCATGTGTCTTTTCTCAGAATTCAGCTCAAACGCAGTACATTAGAAATACATTACAAACAGAGAAAGACAGAAGCTTTTGGGAAAGCGGGGATGAAGATAGATGAAGAGGCATGGAGGAGAGGCTTAGCTGAATGTGACTGGAAGAATAATGGCTACTTAAATTACTTGGAAAAAAGGTGTTTTTTTTTTTAAACAGGAGGTCTGAGCTTAAGAGGAAAAAGGCTTAAGCAGGTTGGGGTCAGATGAAAAGATGGATGGAAGTGGAAGAACAGAGAGGAGGGAGCAAGATAGAGAAGGGGTGAGGAGAAGACAGAGAGAGGAAGGGGTGGAGCATTGCAGCAGAAGTTGTAGGGTAATTGTTTTGAGTTCTTGTGCTTGGGAAGGAGCGGTCAGCTCTCTAATGGCGAAAGAATGAGGGAATGAAGAAAAGGCAGAGAGGCACAGCAAGGGAAGGAGGGGGGTGGGGGGTGGGGGTGGCTTCCCTACAAAGCTAAAACCAATTGTACTCGCCAAGACTGTCAATGCATCTGTACGTGTTTGTGAGTCCTCCGTCTCACGTGTAGCACACACACAAAAACACATGGCCGGCCAGTCACTTCAAGCTGCAGCGCACCCCACCCCCCACAGCACAAAACAAAACAAGTTTTGTCTCCCAAACAGCCGAATGTGAACCCCCTCCTCCGCACTGCACTCCCCTTCTCTGGCTCTCAACAAAAAAAAAAAAAAAAGGCTCCCAGGACAGGAGCTAGCTTATATTGCCCTACGGAGGGCCCATGTAAACACAGTGTTGGATTGCCCCGATTTTTAATACATGGCTACCTCTCAGTACTGCACCGCAGTCTCTCTGAGGTTTAGCTGGTCTGCGTGAGGCTTATATTTCCAGGTCCTTGTGGGGATGTGGGAAAGTGGAGGAGAGGGGAAGGAAAGACAGGAGGGAGCAGGGATAGAATATCAAGTAGAGAAAGAAGTGACACCATGGAGAAGAAGTGGAGTGCTTGTGCATCAAATTAGTACTTGCTTGGAATATAATGCAATTAAAATAATTCTGATTCTCTAAACAAAACAGGAGAATTACAGAAGTGAGGACGGTCACGGAGGGAAGAAAAGAGGGGGAAAGAGATGGTGTTGAGGGAGGCACACTGTAGGTCATATTCCAGCTGTTATAATCTGTGGCAGATCTAGAGGAAGCTGGGAGCCTCTGGCTACAATCCTCATAAGGGAGGGACAGGCATTGGAGCGAACGACTGACAGGAAATTACCGCAGAATATCACCATCCTCATGATAGCTTGAAACGCCTGAGCAATTGGACCGAAGAATGTTTTGTTTTTTTGATTGTGCATGGCTTATCCAACTTTGGGTTTGGGACCTAATAATGGGTCAGTCCAAAATAACCGTACAGAACAAGCATCTTGTGGATGGATCCCAGAAAGGGACAATAAACTTTCAGGTTGAAACATCTGAGAGAATTCTTGGCGTAGTGGAATCTTCACAATCTACATTTTTAAATCTATAACAATGAAAGCAACAGGTGTCCTGCTGATATTGAAAAATTTGCTTCTCCTTTCAAATGGAGCCAGCACATGCAACCATCTCTGATCAGTTTTGCAGGCTGCTGAACAGAAGATGATCTGAAAGATTTTCCTCCTCTGGGCCTCTCAGGAGGAGCAGAGGACAGGAAGACCCCCATTAGCAAAAGCTGGAACTCCCAGGGGGCAGAGTGGGGGCTCATTTTAGGGCCTATTGTGATTGGGAGATGGGGGTGGTGGAGAGTGACAGGGCGTGTTTTGGCGTTATCTCCTGGATGAAAGGTCACAAGCGCTACAGTGACTCATGTAAAACTGGTGTGCGTGACTTTGACATGAATACTCAAAAATGGGAGGCATTTTCTCCGTCAACTTGGTCTCTAATTGACCGTACGCTAAGCCCAAATTCTTAGTTTCCAACTAACCAACTAACCTGTCACGCTTTTCCCTTTCCCATGGCACATACCTGTCTCCAAAATCAGGAGTTTTAAAAACAAAGGGTCCTTCATTTCAAACAAAGGTACACAAAAGCAGGCTTCTCATTTCTAGCCATGGGACTGTCAGTTTTGCAGGTTGAATGGGTAATCATCGCTAGCAGATATTATAAGCTGTAGCTAGCTAATTAAGCTAATGTTAGCTCAATGAGTTTGTTGAAAATATTGTCCCTAGCAAACTTTTGAATGTTTCTGGTTGACTTCCTTTAGACCGTACTGATTTACATATTGTTTTTGTTGCAGGTGTAGCTTCCTCGGCCACCATTTTCATAAGTTTGACAATAGGTTGGTGGTACCTCCGCTAACGCTTACACAGCCAAGATAGCAACTGTTGAAGATGATAAGCGTCCAGCGTTTCACACTCAATTTTTTGACCGTTCACACTTCATGAATTTCCCCTAGGGCATAAATAATGTATGTATGTATGTATGTATGTATCCATCTATCTATCATCCAGGTATTCATAGTGCACTGAATGTTGCCATAATTATCAGTGTGAACACACTTATGCACTCAAAATAACAAGCGCAAGTAGTTAAAGTTGCCGAGCTAAGAATGAACAACTGCTGTTAGCCAACGGTGACTGAACCTTAGTATCACACTGAGCACAAACCCAACACCTGGTAAAGAGGCCAGAATATATTTAAAAACAAACAATGTTTCAAACACATCTCACCTGCAAAGTATTCTTCAAAGTCTTCACTTCTGTCAGTAGATGCTTCAGTATCTCTGAGGGATGGACAAAAAATGTCACAAGACATCACATGCATATGAAATACAAAAAAGAAATGTCAAGGACATGGATTTGCCCTTTTGAAAATAGGGAAATGTTAGGCCTACAATTTCATGAAAAGTTATAGTGTTCAAACAAAAATTCTGCAGGCCTAAACGTTATTTATTGGCAGTATATAAAGTATATTTAGGAAAAAATGTATTGAACAATGAAACACTCTTGCCTGCTGTGTTCGTGGCCCCATCAGGACTGCCAGTGATACCCAGTGATGTCCTACACTCCTCCAGCAGCTTCTCCAGTTCCACACCGTGGCCGTCCCCAGCTTCATGACGAACCAGTAAAGACTGACTCAGACCACTGTCCCTTTCTCTCCAGTCCTGCCCTGAAGAGCTGCCCGACAAAGGTGAGGTACCACACAGAGAAGAGGGGCTCTTTGTCGGGCTCACAGCCACAGTCTTCCCCTGAAAACCTGGAGTCCTCGGGGTAGAAGTTGGAGGACCCCCATTCCTCCCCAAGGCAGCATTTCCTTTAACCACAATAGTTCCTGGCTTGTTGTGTACTGGAGTAACTCCGGGACCAGTGGTTGAGCTGTTGGAGCTGACTGGTGAATGAGGCCTCCAATCGGGAGCGGGACTCGAAGTGCTGGGGGTGGTCGGGGTGCTGGGGGTGCTGGGGGTGCTGGGGGTGCTGGGGGTGCTGGGTTTTGGCTGCGACTTCTTCCCGATGGATGTGATGACTGGAACTGGAGGTGGAGGTGAAACTGGGGCTGCAAGGGAAGGTTGAGGCGAGGTAGGGTGAAGCTGGGGCACACCAGGGATGAAAGCGGGCACATCACTTTGTGGAGAAGCAGGAGGAGTGTGGAAACTCTCCCCATGGGCCCCTAAAGAAAAAAAAACATTAAATTCGGATAAGATAAGAATGGCGTATACATATTTAAAGAGCCCCTCAAGACATGTTTTAAGATTACTGGATACAAGATGTCTCCTACTTCACTGAAAACTCCATTTTCTCTGTATGTGCACTTGAGGTTTTAAGTTTCCACATCACTTATGTAAGAAGTCACACAATCATGCTCATCTTTAACTGGAATCTGAGGTAAGCATAAAGAAACTTCCCCTCTTGAGCAGATGAAAGTGAAAACAGCTTTCTAGTGTCAAACTCTGCACATTCATCACTCTGCACAATAAAACTCAAACATCCGAGTGAAGTAATAAACAATAAACAAAACTTTTTTTTTTTTTTTTTTTTGCAAAGATTCTAAGTAATTGCGAGAGACACTTAAAGACATGACCAGACAACTAAGTCATGGACAGAACGACAACAGGAAACAGTGTTCACTAATCTGGCATGTTTAAACTGAAAACACTATTCAGTGAGGTGACCAGATCAACAAGGCCCTCATTGGCCCACAGACATCCAGGCCATGCCCCTGAAGACGCTTTAATAGAGACATTCCTCTCGGACTGCTCATCCGCAATTTTGCCGCGACACTCATTCTGCCAATTCAGGAACACGCACACACAGACAGGACGACTTTTATAGAGACAAATTTGCAGCAGTGGGCCGCAAATACATTTCCAAATTTGACATAGTAACAATAACACAAGTGATTTTTTACCTTTTGACTCAGCATTCCTTGCCCAACTAATAATAACTTCAGAAGCTATGGGAACCAGTGGGCATCGTGTCTCCTTCTTTTCTTTCCTCCTTTTCCTTCTTTGGACAAAAGCCTCACTGCTAGCAAAATGAATGTTTTTTTTTCTTAAGTGATGTAAGAGCAGCAGTCAAACATTTGCAAAGTTATGCACCACCTGCTGTAAGGCCAAATCACTGGAGAAGAATGACAGGATTGTCTAATAACTTTCTCATGCCACCCCTGCGTCTTATTTCTTCATTCCAAACCTTAATGTGCTCGTCCAACCATGGGTGGCAGATTGACTGAATGAGAGAGTGTGTGTGTCCATTCAGGTTTGTGTGGGTGTGTATGTCAGATAGCATTAGGCTTCCTATGATTAATCCGCTGCCCTTGTGCTGAGCCGGGGAATTCTGCCGATTCATCACAGCTGGCCTGGCGGGGCCAGAACAAATCACACAGGGACGCGAGGAGAATGACCACTCACTGAGCAACACGCAGGAGGGCTGCCAAGATTCCTCCTGCCGCTCAGTGCACACACACACACACACACACACACACACACACACACACACACACACACACACACACACACACACTCTTTCCGCTTGCTTCTCCTTTTGTTGCCTTGAATTTCCTGATTATCCCTCATCCACCCTCTCTTTTTTAAGGGATCTATTGTGGTATGCTCTCTCTCCTCCTGTATCTGTCCTCTTTCTTTCCCTCCACTATCCTCTTCCTACTACATGAATCAGTGCCTTGAGGTGTGCTGGCTTTATTCTCAAAGAATCACAAAGCATGAGGTCAAAACACACCCACACACATACACACACACACACTGCTAGCTGTCTGTATGTAGTGCCAAATATGTGTAAACCATGTCAGAATGCACACACAGAGCAAAGAAGATTCGAAGACAGTGAAGCGACCAGAACCAGAGAGTTTAAAAAAGTAGTTTGAAATTCATAAGTGTGTGTGCATGTGTGTGTGTGCTGACATACCTGTGAGTCCATGGCCGTCCTTGCTGGAAAAGTTGCCCATACTGCAGTAAAGGGGTTTGGGCCACTGACGCGGCCCTGCAGGTGCTTGTTGCTTTTTCACTCAGCCCACACCAAAGTGGCACTGTGGAGGTGACCTACACACACAAAGACACACACACACACACACACACACACACACAAACACACACAACCCCACACACACACACACACAGGACATCCAGAAAGATGATGGATGAAGTCATGCACTTATGCACTGCTATCCTGCTGAGAAATAATCCAGTGACTACAGCTCTGAACAGAACCAACCCTTGATTCCCCTAAAAAAGTTCCTGCTGGACTGAGTAAAAGAACAGGGAGCTCATGCTGTTCATTTGAATGCTAAGAAAATCAGAGTGTTTACACAAAGAGGCTGAGCCACAGGGGTGAGATCAGCCGCAGAAGCAGGACACTCCGGTGTGACATGTGCCACACAAAGTGTTGGCATGTCATGTTAAAATGCATCTGAAGGAGTATAAACTGTGCACATGAGAAATGCGCCAAAAACAAACACAGAAGCCGCATATTCCGCGCCATCGAAAACAAAACCAACAACAAAACTAATCCAAGTTGGCAAAACAAATTTGGTAAAAAAAAATATATTTTTGATAAGAACGTAACATCATTTTTGTTCCACAGCACAACGCGCAATCAAACCTTTTTTTCTTTACATAGAAGCCTAAAGGAAATGCGCATCCTAAAGTTTGAAAACGTGTTTACGTAACTTAAAAGCACTTTTCGACCACTGTTAAAAACCCTTTGCTTTAATTTGAAGCGCAATAAAAAAAAAAGAAAAGAAAAAAGAGAAGTGGATACAAACCGCTGAAAGCAGACAAATAAATCCCAACTCTTTCGCTCTGAGTTTGGTGAACTGTTCTTCTCCACGCTTTGCTTCCTCCAGCGCTGAGCAACCAAGCGCACTCACTGCTCTGGTGTGTCTTCACTGAGGAGAGGGAATGGCCGCTGGAGAAATGCAACTGCATTGCCTATGACTAAAGTTTAACTCACGCAACATTTTACGGCTAAAAAATATAAATGTTCATAAGCAGGTGGAAAAAAAAAAGTCTGGTTTTAATCCGCACAACAAAACAAAGAGCGAAGAAAAGAAAAAAAAACACAACGACGATGAGCGATGGGACTGGTGGGCGCTGGATGTGTCCACTGGAGGGCACCGTTAGGCTGTGTTAGGAAAGACCTGTTGCCTCTGGGGAAGTGGTGGCCCTCTTCCCTTACCTCTTGACTTATTATGAAGCAGACTCTCACAGATGACCCACTGACCTACTGTACCAGACAGCTCCAGGCTGAAACACTGTTTTTATACCAACGGCTACCGGATACATTTAATTCAAACCTCCCTACTAAGTGCTTATGTGGCTCCCACATCACTGGATTATGATGATGCTGTTCCAGTGCAACATCTACACACTGTGAAAGCATTAAACAAGGGCGATGTGTGTATGCTCATAAATTCGACAATTTGTCTGAATAGTTTTTTTTTACCAATAATGCAACTCTTTGATTTGATTTGTCCAATTATTGAAAGGTTACACGGGATAAAAAAGACAAAGAGTTAATATAGCTTAACCCCTTATCTGCTGTTTACTAAGGCTCTTAGTGACCTTTTATTGTGGCTCCATTGCAGGTTAATTTAAGCAATCTGACTGTCATGTTTGAAATAAAAATGCATTTCCTATGATTACCCAATCTCTGTTGCCCACTGGCTATTTTGGATTTGCAATGCTGCAGTGCTGCAATGCTGCAAAGCCTGTCCAAGTTTATGAAAATAAGATATTTATATTGCCTATTTTATGAAATCTACAGCATCAATATTAGTATTTGCACATGTATTTTTGGATAAACATCAACATTTTTGAGTTCATTGTTTAATGTTATCTTTCTGAGATGAAAAATATCCATTGATGAATCCTGTATCTGCAGATTTGTAAATGGTGGGAAGGTCACTGGTCTTTTCAGGGCCTTAAGACATTTTTCAGATCTAGTATGGATTAACGTCAACCCTTCTTCTGAGTTTTTAACCAAGACCACAAAAACCACAAAAATGCTCTAAAGGATACTGTGGATGTGAATGTCAATGACCCCCAATTTGTTTACTTGACCATATCTTTAAAAGGGCTATTTGTAAGTTTTCCATCATTGTAGACAGCTGCTGTCTAAAAGAGCATAAATTGCACTTTGACTACAAACATATTTATTTTTTGGTACAAAAATAACAACTTCATCGCATAGCACTGTACAGAAACAAGGAGACCCACAGGTGTGACTAAAGTGCAACAGTAGAGCAGCATGTTTGCCAAATGCTTTTATTTCATAAGAGTCCTCTAACATCTTGTCATCAAATAACAATTATTTTGCTAACACAGCAAATCTCTCCTCTAATGGACACAGCTGAACTCCAGTTTGTAGACCTTTATGGATTGTAATGGATGAGCACTGATGCATGAAACTCACAGCAGACAGAGGAATACTGTGTTTTATTCCAACAGAAAACATGTTTTCAGATATTCCTTTTGTCGGTGCACTGTCTTAGCAGTTCTCCCTCATAAACTGTACAATGCTGAGTGAAACAGGAAGTTTGCTGCAGTATGGAGACAAGTTCTCCCTCGCTCTCTGACTGAGATCAATAGGTTTGCACAGTGCTCTGTGCTCACTGTGCACCACTGCAGTGTAGAGAGAATCCATCAAAACCAGCCAGGTGCATCACACAACCTCCAACCCCTACCCACATTGATTTCACACTCATGGGAGTGCATTGCTTGAACATGATTATAAAGTGCACAGCATGTCAAATACTTTCAGACTTGGATTTTAGAGCAGGTGAAGACCATGGCGAATCATACATGTTCCCGAATCTGTTGTTGCCGGAAGGAAAGTTTTAAAAGTCCAAATATACCCTCTACTTTTCACTCAGGTGTATGAACACCCAGTATGAGTATCGTGTTGTTTTGATACCATCACAATCCCATTGCGAAATTATTTATGGGTGTCAGTCACTGTCCAGAGTAAGGTGACCAATTGTTCAGTGTCTGATGCCAGTTGGAGCCATTAGCTCCCTCTGCTGAGTGGATTATGACAATTTTGTTGGTGACCTACTGCACTAGCGTTCTCGATTGTCACTACTGGGGCTCTAAAACCTCCCAGGCTGCCACAACTAGTCGCTGGTCCAATTTGGCAGACAGACAAGGATGGCTCTTCAGCTCTGAAAAAATGGATTACAAGGTCTGGCTGACCTCTAAGTGATGAAACACACACATCCTCATTTTTCACAACTTTCCAGAATACTAGTAAAACCTCCTCCTCCTGTCTTCTTGTTTATGGAGAAATAAAACTCTCCCTTTTACGACTTGTAACACCATCATATCAGATTCGATAGATTTCTACATATCCATACTCAGCATTAGAGGCAGTAAATTTAAAGACGGTATGACCCTGTGCGATCTATAAGGCACGGCACACATTCTCAACCACGCTCAGTGTCTCGCCGAAGCTTAAATCCCTTTTAACTGCCAAATGGAAACACCCATTCCCAATCCCATAATCTATAAATCCACGTATGACAGTAGGACAAATGGTGGACACCGCAGGGGGAATGGTACAAAGTTGGGATGCACAGGAACAGTCTGCCTCTCATGGGTCCTTGCCTGTCTAATACCAGATTAGATTAATGAGTGTGTGTGCCAGGAGTGATTTTCTACCTGGGTTAATCCCCACCGAGGACACCGGTTTATCCAGGAGGAATCACCATTCTACCTTGCCCACCCGCCACATGCAACGTCTCAGCCAGGTAAATTAGGATTCATAATCCAGTAAAGCGTATTAGTTCAAGTGCTGTTTACATGACTCGCGTCTTGATATCAAATGTTACACAAACTTTAAGATATGTATTCTATTAACAAAACTGTCCAGCCACTCTCCCAGCTATTTTTCCACCACCCTGACTGAACTCTTAGAGAATGTAACTTTTCTGAAAACACGAAGTCACTGATTCAGCCACAACCTGCGCCTTCCACGGCTGTCTCCTGATTGACAGCCGATGCCAGACCGCGCCAGCAAAATGCCCAGGCTTCTTGATGGATGGCACCTGCTCCTCCTCAGAGGAAATCAATTGAAGTCATGGACAGGGATGGGATGCTCAAGCACTTACACATGGCTGTCTGCCTGGGGAAGGTTGGGGTGGGAGGGAGTGTGTGTGAGTGGGGCACAGAGAGAGGGTTGCCAACCATCTGTGTGCAGAGGGGCACTGCCAAGCGTCAGTCCCTTATTACGGCAGGCCTCAAAAAGACAGACAATGTCTCCAAATTAAAGATGTTAGCTCATTCAAGCTACATTCAGCAACAGTCTTTGGGAAGTTCCAGCATCATTACGTACTCATCCAATCATTCACATTGCCTAGTGTCCTCTCAGCGCATTTAAGACTCTAATATTAGTGACTAATTGATGCAATCCAGTGTAATTTAAACAATTTTTGTATGTGTTGCACTATATTACTATAAGATATCACTCTGAACTTCCTGCCAACATACAGGTTCAGCCAGAACTCCACACTAGCACATCTTTAGAGAGCACATGGGCCACATTGGTGCAATGGGCCAGCATAGCTACAATCGTAGATGTGCAAAAGTGTAGTTACTGGAACTCAACCAATTATGTGGGCCAGCCAACATAATTCACAGGTTACTTTAAGGGAACTTTCTCGCCGACAAAGGAGGGAGGTGGGATCTCCTGGCAGGCATTGGCCCGACGAGTTACATCCAGGAGGGGGGTCCTGTGGGCCGCAGTGCCCGCCATGCTGGCATCAGTGTGTGTGCCAACCCACTGCAGCACACGGGCAGAGGGCCGATGGTAGAGGGCCAACTGCCTGGAGCTGTAGCCGCACATGCCGATCCCCACAGCCCCCAGCAGCACCGCCATACCAGGCATGGTCTTCTCAGCTGGCGGCGTCACAGACACATTATGGTAGGCCTGGGTCTGAAAGAAGAGAAAAGTGGAAAGTGAAACGTGATCAGGTGAGTGTTGGATTTTCGCATGAAAGACAAATTGTCAAAGCGATCCAGAAATAACACGATATCATTGCAGAGAATGACCAGAGTTATGATTTGTTAATGTTCTGTTTTAGTTCGAAAGCCCACAGGAGAGGAAGACAACATGCTTTGAAGCCCATTTTTCCAAACAATCGTCTGCATCAAATGAGTGAGCCATAATGTGCTCACCTCATCCCCCACCTCATCCAACCCTCCCACCAATGCCCGAGAGATTAAAAACCCATCTTCTCTCATTTAGCAAATCGCAGTCTGTCTCTTCTGACAAACAAAAAGCTTGTCTATTTTGCAACATGGGTAATTTCCTCCACGGACCCTTGACAATTATAAAGAGCAGAGAGGAGCAAATAATAGAAACTTCATAGTTTCTAATGGAGTTGTGTCACAGGCAGTTAAGAAGCCATTCCTGTGGCTCACTCACTCAGTTCCCATTTCCATTTACAATGCAATGGACTGTTGTAGGCTTGGATTTCTCCACTGTTTCTGGTAAACAACACAAAAAAAAAAAAGTCATTATGTTTTGTGAGCTAAAACAAAATGCATCCTACAATCACAGAAACAGTAGCCTGGATGACATGTTTAGTATAATATCCTGGTACTGTATTTCATCATCTTGTCACTATGGAATCTGTTGAGACGCTTGACTGAAAAAAAATGGCTGTATGCTGTATGCTATCTCAGCCTATAAAACTGTACTTACCCATAAATCCGATACCTTGCAAATATTCATTACATCAACGGCTGCACTCCGAACCATCAAGTTATTTCATCTGCCACTTTTTTCTACTCCTCAAGGACCAGTAAAGACAGAGCATGTCAAGCACCATGCAACCTACACTTCAAACCCAAGACATTAAGAGGGCTTTCTGCACTTTTATTTTAAAGATCTTAAAATCAAAACAAACTGTCTGGTGCAGATAAACTGCAATAAAGTTCAATCCACTGCAGGCAACTTCTAACGACTCAGCACTTTAAGCCCCTGATACCCGCCTTGCAGACAGCTTTAGTGTCACTCTGCATCTGAGAGTAAAAAAAAATCCCAGCACATGAAAATACGCAGCGGGTGGTTACAGTTACTACTTGACATTAAAAGTTATACACCTTTATAATAAATTAGCATTCAAACATCCAAACCAGAACCTCCTTATTTTTTGAATGTTAAATTTTCACAACTGTTCACACTCACCTGCAGCAGCCTGATGTAGCCTGGAGTCAGTCTTGGGAGTCTGAAAATCATTTTGGAGCGTTCCACGCTGGCCTTCCTGTTAGATCAGGGATGAATCAAAGGCCGGATAACAGCTGAATATCTTTCTCTGAAGCTCCTCTCCCTGGACTCCCAGGACGGGAAACCCACCGACAGAGGGTCCGTCCGGGTGTATGTGTGTGACTCTTCAACCTGTGCACAGCTATCTGATGCAGGACAGTCTGGCCAGCCCTTATAACGCCCTGTCTTTACATAACAGGCAGTCTGCAGGTGGTGCGTCTAAGGGGATTACAGGAGCTGGCACACGGGGACAAAGAAGTCAGTCTAAACAGAAGGCAGGTTGAATCAAGCGTAGGACTGGGTGACATTTGAATATTAAAGTGAAAGTGGTGTCATAATGAAATTATATAATCATGCTGTATAATTGTTTTACAAAATTCTGTTGTTGAACTTAATAACTGGAATTAAAAATAAATAAAATACACCTAGTCATCATATGCATAGTTTTGTCTGATGTATTGCATAACAGTGGAACACAGTTCATTGTATTAAACGTAAAGTATTTTTCTAATCTCTAATCCATTTGATGATTATCAATATATAAAAGGAGCATAAGGCGCAGATAACACTGTGCATACAGACATTTTTAATATTTTAGTTTCTGCTCAGTGTAACTGAGTGAAACGCCAAAACCAAGTGGAAAGTGATGAATGAAAACTTGTTGACTTTACTTGGTAGAGGTAAAGCACATTAGCATCAAGTGTAAATGATTTCTGACTTCAGCAACTCCTTTAATAGCCTTATACAAAAAGCCCAAGTCATCTGAAGCCAGAACCACTAGAATCCGCCATGTGGGCTGATTTGGATGTTTTCCTGTTGATGCTGAGAATGGCTTCTCCTGCCATGTCAGCAAATTTCTGTAAGCTTTAATATCCTTCCTGGCCTCAGGGTCCTGAGCTTAGAGGGAGGTCTTATAATGAGGTAGCTGTGCTGATAACGTCTCTCTTGCTGGACGAGTGGAATTCTCTGCAGCGAGAGCAGCCAACAATGACCTTCTCCTCATCTCCGGTAATAGGACCCGATTCTGCCTCCCAACTCATGCATCCATGAATAATCTCAAACCCTGGCAATAATGCCGCAAAGTCGATATGATGCCACTGAGACTTGTGATGCCTGGTGGGTTTGGCAAAAGAAACCACACAGCTTTTAAGGCATACAGGAGAAAAAAAACCCACTAATCAATGCTGGAAAATGTAAAACAGGCAAATAAAACGAACATATTTGGATTCCTCATGCTAGCAGCGCAGTGGTGCCTTGAGCTAACTGCTAATGTGACACCGCTAACATGCTCACGACGATACTAATATTATGACATTCTGCAGGTAGGCCTATAATATTTACATTTGCTAATTAGAAGTAAGCATAAAGCAAAGCTGAGGTAAATGGGAATATAATTATAAACCATATGATTGGACAGATTCAAATTTGGACCTCACTGTGCATGAAAAGTTAAACCTGCAGTAACTTTTGGCCATTTTGGGGGCAAAGGAAACTAGCTGTGAATACAACATTGACATCTCCTTTTAAGCTAGTAAGCAACTTTAGCAATCATTTGGAGTTTCTGGTCTATGTAAATCCATTAGGCACTCTACATTTTACTTTGTGTTTAGTCTCTTAGTAGCTAAATGCTCCTCTGCCTTTCTGTGTGGAGGCAAATTATAATGGATTTCTTTAGCTGCCTGCTGTGGCCAAAAACAATGTTATGAGAGCTGTGAGAATGTGAGCTATTATAGAAATACCAATTACATCTGATTTAAGGGATAACCAAAGTTATAACAATTCATCCTGATGGAGACATGAATGTCTTTACCAAATGTAAGGGAAATCTATCCAACAGTTATTGAGACATTTCCCCTCAAAACTACACGTGAACATCATTGTGGCGCTAGAGGAAAAGCCACTCCATTGGAACCATGACTGTCTGTGCCAAATTTTGTGCCAATCCATTCAGTAGAGGTTCAGATATTTCACTGGATCACCTACTGATGATGCTAGAGGAAATATCAAAGGATTGCCGTATTCATTAGGATTCAAGCCCTGGGCATCTTGGATATCTGTGCCAAATTTTATAGCAATCCACTGATTAGTCATTGAGATATTTCAGTCTGGATCAAAGTGACCAAGAGCTTAAACTACAAAGGATGAACTCAATACTATGTTACATAAGCATAACAGGCAATGTGGTCTTTGCCCTTATTGTCTCCTCTGGCTAATGTCTGCAGAATGAGCCCATGAACTTCCATCAGACACAGCACCTGGTGCATCCATCCATGAATGGAGGCCACAGATGGCTGACCCCATGCTAATTGTTCACCATATAATATGACACAAACGCTCTCCGAGATGCGTGTTACAGTGCACAATCGAAACCTGCTGGTTTTCTACTGGTGCATCCCGGTTCTGACAAAGACAGCAGCCCCTCTGAAGCTGGTGCGTGGCAGACAGCTCTCACACAGGTCATCACAATGGCACTGTCCAGCCAGGATAATTCTCTGCCCTTTTCCTGAACTCACCCCCTGGCTTTCAGCTATGGGTAAATGTATTAGAATAGATTACCTGAGCTGTAGACAGGTATGGTGATGCAGAAGGTTAAGCTACTGACTCCCTGGGTGGTACTGTATCCCAAGATCCATCAACAACACACTGTGTTGCTATATTGAGCGTCCAGTTAGATAACAGCAACTAGAGTTTGGTGGGAATAATGCAAGGGGACTATTTATTGTTCTTTATCATTCAGCCCAGTAATGAATATCTGCTGAGACACCATTGGTGTCATCACTATTACCTCCCCGAAGACTATCAATTAATCTAATGCAGTTAGGGGAAATACCAAATTTGAAAAGACACATGTAATAGTAACGTGGTCATAAATTGATTCGCGGGGAGTGTACTGTAGATAATTGAGATGCCATTAGGTTAACCGGCTGGGTTTAAATGTCATAACATCTGCAAAGAATACTGGAGCTCTGGCAGAGCTGACATTTACTTCTATAGCAATTAGAGGGTTAGATGAGGAGGACAAGTGCGATGTTAACACCAATTAAATGTTCGATTAATTTGAGCTACATGAAAAACAACTCGAACAAACAGGGAGGTAAGTAACAGCTTGGCTGATAATGACAACTTCAAGCTTACTCATGGTGGGTGGAAGGATTTGCAAAGATCAGGATTAACTGGCCTTGTTTTTTTCTTGTACAATATAAAGGCATGAAAATGGATTACCCAAAGGCAAAAATATTTAATAAAAAATATTTTATACACTATCATGTTAAGTCCAACATTTTGCAATGCAAAATATAGGAAGAAAATTTCAATATCCAGTGGTAGAAATAATCCTTCAGTAGTCTCTCTATCTCAGCGTGACTGACAGTCTCTTGGGTGTGTTGTAGAGAGCCCTGTGTTCTCGTCTCTCTGCATGGGAAGAATGTCTGTGATCCAGTATTGGAACAGTGAAACAACTGCAGCGGCTTCCCCTAAAACACAGAGAGACAGAAGAAAACATTTCAGTTACAGCTAAGACTGCTGACAACACAATACCACAGGAGCAGTCAGGGTTTTCACCAAAGAGACTTATTTGCTGTTGTATTTTCAGCATAAGAAATCAAAATCTCCTGCCACAGTGCAAATCTACTTCCTGACTCTATGCATGTAGCCATTCAACCTCGAACATCTGTCTCCCATCCACGGCTGAATATTTCTTTTACTTATCCTCAAAAATTTGAATTCAATTTAGTCTGTGCAGAACATAAGATGGACAGTGTAAAGGGGAGCAGGCAAGCCAATATCATTCATGAGAGGATCTCCAGGGTGCAGTAAAATACCCTCAAAGGAAATGTGCTTCAGAGCTGCTCCTGCAGTCAACTGATTGCCACTGCAAGGGTAGATAGAGTGAGGAGCTTTAGTGAACTCGCTGGAAGGCCCCTTTAAAGCACTCCTCTCCACGAGCACATGGATTAGCTCCTGCATTGCAGTGGATGTGGGTTAAATTAAAATACAGAATGCTGATTTTACAAGGTGGATGTTAACTTTTCATAAATGTCTCAAATACATCAAGAAATCTTAAAACAAAAGGTCCATTCACAAGGAATTCTTCAAATGACTGTTTTTCTGTTCTGATACAATCTGCTGGCAGAGTTGCATTTAAAAACAGCATCATTTAAAGACAGTGAATTGTAGCATGACTCATACAGTGTGAGGTGGGTGGGGAGGGAGGGGGGCAGAAAAGCTTGCAGGCAGCTGTGGAGCAGGTGCATAGAGGGGATAGGCACAACTAAGGCCGGCTCTATTGTGGGTGCTGTTTGCAAGATAGCAAACTGGTTTTTACACGGTGTCGTCTTGGCGACAGAGACAGGCAGAGACAGGCGTCACTTTGTGACCACTGATATGGCAGTAGCCTCAATCTCCTTGCTGGTCTGTCTCACTCTTGTTCTCACACACACATAAACTTGTGCGTGTGACAGCAGCAAAGTCCCTGCTGATCCTATTATGCAGCCAGATAGCGTGCGCACACACAGGCACGCACGCACGCACGCACGCACGCACGCACACACACACACACACACACACACACACACACACGTTTTGGGTGTTGACAGAGTTAAGGCAACATGAACAAGTTGAAACATGTTAGTTAACTCACGGTGGAGGTCATCGGCATGAGAGATGTAATATGGACAAGAAAAGCCCTAGTGTTGCAAATCAAGGGCAGGTACGTACAGGTGAGCAATAAATATCAATGCAAGGGTGTACAGAATGGGAGGCAAGCACACACACACAGAGGCAAGTGTTAACCTGCAGGGACAGGTCAGTGAAATGCCTGGGGCAGATCCTTGCAAGAGGAGGCCAGGGATGAATGCTGAAGCAGCATTAAATACAAGTCAGGCTCTCATCAGTAGGGCTCTCACCATTTCGCTTTCCTCCCTAACCTCTTGCTCTTCTTGGAAAATACAATTTAAATGTTTTGACTGATCCATGCACTGACCTGCAGACATACAGGAGCTGTTATAGAGCTCTTTCAGTGCCTTTTCCAGTTTCTCTGTCTCTTTCCGTTGAACATAGGCCTTGAGACTGTAGAGCTGCTTCAGGACAGAGTTAGGCTTACATCCACTGGATACGTGGCTCAGAAGGTCATCCACTGTGCCAGACAGGAGAGGAGGGTTGTCTACGCGCGGAGAGGCTGTTGGGAGTACAGACGAGGAGAAGGGTGATGGGTTAATTAAAAGCATCAACATCATTATTTAGTATGTTTAATATTAGAGGAGTGTTTTGTCAACTCAAGCTGTCAAAACAAGCAATGAGCCTTTAACGCCATACACAGCAACAGTTGTTCAACACATTATTTTATATCTTGTTGCTTACGCTACACTGTCTAGACCCTGTGTCATCAAAATGGGAAAACCGTCACTCGTATATTTTGTCATTCACAAATTGTGTGAATCACTATATGTGCAGTCTCACAATTCATTATTAGTCTCGCTTATTTACAAGGCTGCTCAACCAGGTACCAAGGACTGAGCAGCTTTCTCTTGTTTTGCACACTGGTCAGAGCCTAATCTCCAGAACACACTGCCTGCATCTTAATGAACTTTTTCTCTTGGCGAGTTAAAAACTTTGATTAAAAGCTCAGTGACCGAAGAGAGCAATTGCTTTCCGTAGGCTGGATTTTGTATTGTCAGTCTGCTGCAAATAATCCCCTTTTATTAAACATAATTTATTTTGTAACTTTTACAATGTTGTGACTTTTGTCATAGTGAGCTTTCTTACTTTGGTTTCCTTGGGTGGGTTTCAGCACACACATATGGATATGCCTGACAGCTAAAAGCTGTTCAGGCACATCCAGTACATTTATATAACACTGCAATTTTAGCCATTATACTTTCAGCAAATTACTGATGCTATGTTTTTAACTGCGCTTCTGTGAAGTTCATGTCACATCATGTCTCAAAAAAGGCACAGATGTGCAATAAATTCTGGGCATTTGTTTTGATTAACATGCCTTCAGCTTTTGACAGCATTTAATTATATGTTTATAAACTACATCTATGAATGGCACCAGCTTTGAGCATAGTAACTCCCAAAATGAATCCAAATCAAATTTGTTATGTCAGGGTGTTCATTTTCCAAATATTAACACTGAATGAGGAATATTGCAGCACTAGCTTTAGTAATGACTAGAAGATTTAGCACAGAGAGCAAAAACCTGTGATCCAAAAAGGCAAAACAGTTACATTAAAAAGTTACTTACAATCTGACATATAGATTTCCAGTGTTGTCCTGAGAAAGTCTGACACTTCAGCAGCTCTCCTCTCATCATCCTCCTCTTCCGCTTCCTCATCTTCCCCATCCTTTTGGTACGTGAACTCCAGGGCAGCAGCTCGGGGCACGGCGCCCATGGAGAGCAGCTTCTCTTTGTGTCGTTTCTTCTTCAGCTTCCTCTTCTTGTTCCTGCTGATGTGCTCTCCTCCCTCATGCCCGGCCGTCTGACTCTGACCTGTGCTGGACTCACTCCCTGCAGCTGCATCACCTTGCCCAGATTCCTGATGAGGAGTTTTTTTCCTTTTCCTTGTTCTCCTTTTTCTTTTCTGCTCTTCTTGCACTTCATCTTGGTCTAGCTCTTCATTGCTCTCATGGACGCTCTCTTCTGTGGGCAACAAGATTGTTAGCTCTTGATTAGCTTCAAAAACATTGTTAAACTTAATCCATTACAGTCTCCACTATGCATCTCTATTCGTGATGGGCCTGAATCAGAAATGAACAAATGGCAGTTTACTGTGTTCAAATTGTTAAAGGAACAGATTTGGCTGGGGGGCATCTGCAATCAAACCATTAGGGGGTTTGAGTTCCAGTAGTGTCCAATAATGTGGCATCGAGAGCTAAGAGACTGCATGTTTCCCTCAGCCAATCACTGCACCAGCTGATTCCACTAATTAGATACTCGGTCCTTTTCACTGATTGCATTTTAATCATGAAATCAGCTCATGTGGCCTCTGATTGGAAAAAAAACCTGCTGATTTGTGGATTTACATGGAACAAACCTAAGACTGCAGGCAGTGAATACAAGTACAGTAGAATCAGTATACTGTATGTGAGGTATTATGTGGTGCCTCTTGACAGAATAGCAAACAAAACCCTCTATTCAGTCTTTAATTTATTCTGCAATGATCATGTATAATGAAATTTACATCTCTCATAGTGCTTGTAAATTTTCCTTTATTTTGATTTCAGCACTATGTCTGATGAAAGATGAAAAAATAAAAAAGGAGCCGATTGCTCATGTTATGCAGCAGCTTCTCAATGCGCATAAATGCGCACACACAACATTACCACATTCCTCCTACCCTGTGGAAATCATCATTAGGGCTCCTGCAGTTCTGTTTTAGCTCTGCGGTTTGATTTGTTTGGCAGTTTACTCTCAGGTAAAAGTTTTTCTCACACTGTTAAATCACTTTTATATAATATCTTAACACTATGCATAACTTTAAACTTAACCAGGACTGACTACAGCTTTAATGTGAGCCCGTGCAGAGACAGGACTCTTATTGGCTGAGCAGCTCCCTCTCCAACTCCCCTACTTATCAACGCAAGGAGTACTATAAGGTCAAAGAAACCAGCACCCATCTAATTGTTAGTCACCTGTTCACAATAGTAGGCACCTGACTGGCTGACAGTCGGAACATAATGCAGCTGAGAAAGCAGCAACACACTGACCACAATAGTAACAAAAAGATTCCAAAGGAGTCACAGCTCATTTTAGTCAAACAAGGACTGGAGTGATAACAACTAAAGTCCTTTACGTCATCATGTGTCTATATGAGCACCAATTTAGCAAAATGTGAAAGAGAACTTGAACTTGCTATCATTTTGTTCCTCATGTGGTAGACAGTCTTGCTACCATCTGGTCAGCTCAGCTGAGTCACATCTTTTACAGAACATCATGATGACTTTTATTAGTTCTGTCCTTTATTGGTAGTGAATGAAACATGGGGTCTCACCTCAATATGTTGCTTCTGAATGCACTGAATGCTCATGCAGAGTGCATTACAAGAATCACCTTTACACCTGCTTATTCATTTAATTATGCAATCAACCAATCACGTGGCAGCAGTGCAATGCATAAAAGCATGCAGATACAGGTCAGGACCTTCAGGTAAAGTTCACATCAAACATCAGAATGGGGGTGTGTGTGTGTGTGTGTGTGTGTGTGTGTGTGTGTGATCTCAGTGACTTTGACCGTGACATGATTGTTGGTGCCAGATGGGCTCCTTTGAGTATTTCTGAAAATGCTGAACTCCTGGGATTTTCACAAACAACAGTCTCTAGAGTATTTACCCAGAATGGAGCCAAAAACAAAAAACATCCAGTGAGCAGCAGTTCTATGGACAGAAACACCTTGTTAATGAGAGAGGACAGAAGGGAATGGACAGACTGGTTGGAGGTGACAGAAAGGCTACAGTAACTCGGGAAAACCACTTTTATAACTGTGGTGACCAGAAAAGCATCTCAGAATGTACGACATGTCCAAGATTGAGGCTCACCAAAACGGAACATTTGAAGACTGAAAAAATGTAGTCTGGTATGGTGAATCTGGATTTCTGCTGAGGCACATGGTGGGTCAGGTCTATCTGAGTTTGTGGCCACAATTTACCCACCTTCTAATGTCTACTTCCAGCATGATAATGCACCATGTCATAAATCAAAAGTCATCTCAAACTGGTTTCATTAACACGACAATGAGTTCAGTGAACTTCAGTGACCTCCCCGGCCTCCAAATCTGAAACCAATAGAACACCTTTTGGATGTGGTAGAACAGGATATGTTCAGCATATATGTGCAGCAGACAAATCTGCAGAAATACTGTGATGTAATCATGTCAACATGGAGCAAAGTCTCAGAGGGATGTTTCCAACATCGTGTAGAATCCATGCAACAAGGAACTGAGGTGTGCAGTAATACAAGTGCAGTAACACAGAAGCAGCTGAAAAAAAAATTATGGATCAGAGATTTAGTTCTGGAAATATTCCCTGAACTAGATGAAGCCTACATGAGCACATCAATATGCAAGATGCTTTTAAATTAGTTCTATATCCATATCTTACTATGTAATATTGTGAGTAAAGACTGCAGTGAAAAGGTGTCAACACAGTGTAGGAAACTCTTCTGGGGAATGAAATTAAGCTTTCTTATTCACTCTGAACACATTGCTCATTACTATATCACATCAAAAAGTTCTTATTTTAGTGTTTCTATGATATTATATTGATTGCTTTATTATCAAGAAACCTTTGTAAAGTCCAACTCAATTTGACCTTAAACAGGATTCTGGATTGCAATTTCCATCAAGGCTCGCTGCCCACTAAATCTAAAACGTGTTCAATTAATTTCTGTTAGGCTGTTGAGTGCAATTAATCAAACTTAACCTCATCATTTATTCTAGTGAGTATCTCTGGATGCTGCACTGTCTGAGCTTACAAATCTCTTTTATTTCACTGAGGTAAAGCAGAAGCCTGTCAGGTGGATGGGATCTGTATTAAGGCAGACCTACATGAAGATGCTCATGTAATGACAGGGATTTCATTACAGCCTGGGTTTATCACTGGTTCATGAAAATAAACAGTCTTTAAAGGATGCATATCAACTGCGAAGCATGTAACTTATCCTTGTATCAAATGGACAGCCATCCCTACTCGTCACAGGTCAAGAACATTTCAACTTGGCATTAACATCGGCTCACAATTCAGCATCAAAGATGGCATCAACAAGGGCTAAGTATCTTCTTGCTGTGATATACGCACTTTGAAAAACAACACATTTAATAGAGTGTTCAAAGTGAAAAAATATTGGCCAGGCTCAAACACCATCTGAGCTGCATTCAAGTTTGCCTCAGTTCAGGAACACAATTGATTATCACTGTCTGTTTCCCTTAACTAGAGTGGCGGAGACAATCAGAAAGAGTGACTTCAATACTTGGGAGAGCCAACCTGGAGAAACCCCCATGCCTTAAATCTCGCCAAGCTTTATGGTGCATGGCGCAGGTCCATAAATGTAAGATTATGGTCGACTTACCAGCTGGGTCCTTGGCACTATTTATGCTGTCTAGTTGGGGGAGTGTGACAGATTTCTCAGCATGTGTCTTGTAGTCTGCGGGAGGAGGTAGGACTGTGTACATCCGCCTGCAGGGATTGGCTGTACTCTGCATCTGCCCTGCATTTCCTGAGACAGATGTGGAAAATAAAGAAAGGTAGTAAACCCTATGTTAAAAGTAGGAGGGTGCCAGCAATTCTGTATGTATGGTGTGTCGGTATGTCAATGTATGCTTTTTTGAAAAGAGGGACGAGGATCAAAGGCAAAAAGTCAAAAAAGAAGTATTCTTTAAAACGTTTGTAAGCAGCAGGTTTCTGATCTTACCAGCAACAGTGTACTCTTGAGAGGCTTTTCTTTTCACAAAGGTTTTCTTGGCTACAGCCTCTACCATGCGTGGTGGGCTGGCTTCCTTCTCCAATTTGGGACCTGCAGGGTAAAGCCTCTGGAATACTTTTGACTGAAATACTAGATGACACAAGACAAAAAAAACAACAACTATGCGTTAACTATGTGTTAATCAGATGCATTGGCATTGTAGGGCCCCTAAAACATGTCCTTCATGCTAAAATCAGTTTAGCAATGCAATTCAATGAAGCATGGCAAGTTATCAACCCCATATGTTTAGGCCAACCAACAGAAGATATGCTGCCTTATGGATTAAGTGTATGTTGTTGGCATTATACTACTATACCAATAGTAAAAGCACTACACTGCACCCCGACGACAGGCAAAATGCCCAGCGACTCATTTAAATGTTAGTATTTAGCAATACAACTCTACAAAGAATAGTCAAGCTTTCAAAAATCACAACTAAGTTTTACAGGTTCTTAGTGAAAGACAGATACGTTTATACACGGTCAACGTAACCTGCTTATGACGAATTACAATGGCTTTGCATTGGACAAGGTAACAGAACACGATGTGGGAAAAAACTTAAGATAGCGATTCTTTGACCATAGTGCACGTGCATTTGTTTACAACATAGCTTGTAACCTACGCGAGACTTAGTCGGATAGCCACGTTAGCTAGCTAGGAACAAACAACACAACGAGAGTTTTGATGTTGTAGGCGACAATGATAAGGCTCACCTTCTTTCCTATGTGCCATATCGACATACCTAGCTCACTGGAGGAGAAGAAGGTGCAAACATGAATGTTGTAGATGGCTAGGCAGCTATAGCTAACATGCTAGCAAGCTAGCCAGCATGCTAGCGTTTAAAACTAGCTCGCTTCATACCCGAGGTGTCTACATAATACGCACAGGTGAAGTAGTAAGAGTTGTGGTAACTCTGCGTGTTAAGAAATAGCTAGAGCTATTTGAAAGCAATTTAATTACATACACCAAAGTGCAATAATATTCGGACTTCTTCAGCTGCACTCTCCACCGCTTACTACACAGTGTGGCAGAACTGAAAACAACGGGTGGGGGACCTCAGGACTCGGTCCCGCAGCGCCAAATTCCATTCAAAATAATGGCCATTTTACGTGGACTTGGTTATCAGAAAAGATATGTGTTGAGTATATCATGACTTAATGTATTGCCTTGCTCAGTCGAATCCATTCTTCAAATCGGCATATAAAGTAGCATTGTTTAAAACGATATGTAGAATATAACATATAATTTTCACACTGCCTGTACATGGTGTATTTTGACGAAAATGACTGAGGGAATAATAACTTGAGATTTTCTCAAAGTCATTTACTTCTGTGATATTGGGCGTAAGACGAATTAAACTGTGACTTTTTGTTCTTTGAAAATGATCTTAAGTCAGTTGAGCAGGCGTGTCTTCCTGCCAAAAAAATCAAGGCCAATTTATTTTTTTAATGACAATTTAAACTGCCAACTTTCTTTCATGAAGCGTGAGTGTGATGCATCAGGCTAGAGCTCCCCATGTGTTTGGATCCTGTAATGACAGCGGTTTTGGGCGTGCGCACACCAAGCCAGCTGTAGGACAGGGTGGAAGCGAGATGAGAATACTAAACAGGCACCTCATGGCTCAGCATCAGCACCGGGCTGAGTTAGGATTTGCGCACCCTCCAAACTTGGCTTGGGACCTCAGCATGTGAACGGGCTTTGCAGGAGGAGGATCCACCTAGAATGTCAGCTCTGAAGAAGGTAAATCCCACTCTCTATTTATTAATCCTTGAGTACAGGTATAACTCCTACTATATGACATGAATAGGATTCAAACATTGTATTTTATCATCTTACAGTAAATGAGAAGATGTATGCAGTATTGAAAAAATGGGTGTGTGTTAATGCAGTTTGGTTGCAAGATAGTCTTACTTGTGATCAGGTAATCAGACTTTTGGACAATAGTTTTTTTCACAATGGTTAAATTTTAAAACCCTGCTATGTTAACCAACTATCTTAAATACGAAAATACAAATTTATTTATGTTCAGTGGTCACAATACAGAAATATGATATGATTTTTGCATCACTTTTGCATGCACATGCATTTGGTTCACCACTCCTCTTAGATGTCATTCATGCACTTACATTCATCCTTGAGGAGGGAGAGACTTGGATGAGGAGCATTCCAGGCAGAAAAAAGCCCTTTTAGCACAAGGTTAACCTCTCAAAAGGCTGTTATGTCAGGTTTGATCTCTCCCAGACTCCTGTTGTGCACTGTCACGTAATACTGTATGTACCGTGCTGACTGTAGTCTCTATGGGTGGACGAGCTTCACTGACTGTCTGACAGAGTCCAAGCCCAGTGCTGGCAATCCTGAATGAGAGTGGAGCTCCTTATAGTTTAACAAAAGATGGCACTGGATGAGTTGTAGGTTTTGTAAGAATCAAGAAAACTCCACAGACCTATGTAAACATGTTACATAATACCTTGCAGTGAACAGGACATTGAGCAGCATACGCACAATTCTCTGTGAATGGGTGATTATTGCTGGTGATGGAATCAAACCTCTTTCATTGTTAGGGATCATTCAAGATAAGAAATGGTTAACTGCTTGTTTGTGCAAAAAGCTTGTCATCACCGTCAGTTGTACACTGACACATTGTGTTCTTTAAGATTCAGTGCAGTTGCAAGTATTGATGTCTAAGCTCCAATAGATTCCCATGATTGAGCAATACAAAAACAAGGGAAGTTGTATAGAATGCCTGCTTCAGCACTGCTGCCGAATCCACAGCAAATACACAGTACTCAGCACACACTGTGAGTGACAAAGTGCTGGCTGCCAGCACTCACATCGTCAGACATCATAATCACAGAGGTGCTAAAAATAGGGGACTATATTCATTGCAATGCTTTAGAAGCTCAATGGAGTTATTGCTGTTCACCCTCGCAGCTAGAAGTTTTACCAAGATACTGCTGTATTTGTACCCTGCTCAATAATACAAAAAGTCCTTATTTTTAAGACAGCAGTGGTCACCCAGCCTTTCTTCGATGACATACAGCTGCTTAGATGACACTTTGATGTGTACGTTATGGACTTGAAACAGTGTGCATTGCACAGCAGTCCATACATGAGAACTGCATTTTCTGCCATAGTAACAAGCATGTTTTATTTCAGGTATGAGTAGAGGGTCCCACGTTCATTTATTATGCAGGTGGCTAGAAGAGCTATAGAGCAGTGGTAGTGGCAGCAAGCAGTCTAGGGCAAATGTAATTACTTTAAATCATTGAGAAAGGAATTCACAGTATCTTTGTGTGTGTGGATCTATGTGTGTAATAATTATGCATGTCTATACCTAATAGAGAGGGCACCTGTGGGTGGACAGGTGCCAGGTGGCAGGTGAAAAATGCATGTCATCTCTATAATTCCTTATGTGACTGAAAAATAAATTACTTGTCACTTACCAGCTTTTGGGGGGCCCACCTTTCACCTCATCCACATCACCACCTCTGCTTTGAACCAGGCGACTAATCAGACTTTCAATGAAAGCCTGATGATTCATACGAGATGGAAAAAGGCAATTTCTTTAAATAAAAAAAGATGAGAGCTTAATTAAAAGCTACCACTTGTGCTCAAAGAATAAAGGACCAAAAATTGATTGGAAACTAGCACTATTTCCCCTCAGAAGTACTTTGGAATTGAGGGTAACTTGTTTCAGGTTATTTCCGACACTGCTGTTAAATTGCTTGCATTCACAAGTAACCACACACACACACATGCCCAGGCAAATAGAGTCATCAATGGGAAGCTTGTGTGGACTTTGCGTACTTGGCAGTGACATGATAAGGCTCTCATAATCTGTTTGAAGATGCATAGCGAACTTGAAGCACTACATTTATGCGCGTGGTGATGTCATTTCGGTCTACAGGGGGAGAGGAGCAGCGGTGAATGTAGACGAGTCTGACTAAAAGTAAATGTTGAAACATTTAGCAGGCTCTTTTCTTATTCATCCACTCACCGTGATGGATGTGTTTCTGCTTTCTCTCATTCTTCTTCTTCTTCCTCACTTAAATACTTTCTCTTACCGAGTCATGCTCTCTTATTCACTGTCTTTCTTTCTCTCTCCCTCTTCCTCTGTGTTCCCCTCTTTTTATGTCTCTATTCATTCCCTGATGAATGCCCCCCTACCTCTCTAATAGTTTGGCTTCTGTAGAGGGATGTAGAGGAAATGGAAGGGATGGATGGGGCAGAGCGTTATGAATCTAATAATGTATGAGAGCCAAGTTTGTGTATATGCAGTATGTGAGTTGTTGTGTGTGTGTGTGTGTCTGTGTATACCTGGGCACCAGCAATGCTCCGTTAATCACCTTTGCGCTGCAGGCAGGTGGGTGTCATTGCAATCTCACAGTGTTACTGTCAGTGCAATAGCTGCCACATAGCCCTAAGTCAGATGTGACTCATTACAAGGTCCATTAGCTAGCTGGTATACTATCTGTGACACTTCCTTTCTATTCTAATTGCAAATACATACATATGGACAGTTTGATCCTGGTTTGTAATATGATCATTTATGATGATTTCACCAGGCTGCCTTTGACAGCCAGCCTTGTTTATTTTCATCATGACTGCCGCCTTTCAAAGTTTGCACAGCAGAGAGACAACTGCCTGTGATGCTTGTCAGCTGTATGCCTTTGAAACCCTTTGACTGGAGATAAAGGTGAATCATCTCATTGTTTAAATTGAATTCTAAATTTGTTCCCTTTGGCCCATTGTGTTAACACTGTCAAAATTTGATATTTGGTACTAATGCAAGTGCAAGGTCCCGTACATTTCCAAGTGTACTTGAGGTCTCCCTTGTAGAGCATAAGTCTTAATACCATTACTGTTGGCGAAAGGCCCAGCTCTTTTACAACTGAGTCTTGACCAGACCCGTTAAACTGAGCAATGAACTTGAATATATTGGCTTAATAAAATAGCCCAGTGTAATGAAGGACCATCAAGGCAGCAGAATTTTTTTTATTGGGGCAGGTGTAAGAGATTTGATCAAGCTTCAGAGAATTACTTAGTGCTTTAATTGGACTAATATGTTCAAGCTGTTTGACATCAATGGCAGTTGTCTTTCTACCAGGATTGAAAATACTCCACACCTCATGATTTTGCAGTACAAGTCAAAAATCAGTGGCCTTGGATGCAGTATGCCGCTGATGCCATGATTACAGTGTACCTAGGTGGGTTTAACCTTTGGAGATCAAGTCTACAGGAGTCCAGTGCTGAAATTCTAAATTAAGCACGAGAAAACTGCCCTCATCCCTGCTGTGGGAGGGACATTTATGATAATGGTAATGAAATTTGGAGCTCGGGTGCAGTAAAAGCAAATAGCTCCCCCAATTCAAGGAAACCCTGTACACCAAGGACAGACTTGAGGAATTTGAGGAGGATTAAGATTAGCAGAAGTTAAGCAAGACACTTTCTTTTTTTCTTTCTATATTGAAATATGGTGCTTCCAGTCACCAATTACCATACAAAGTTACCCCATCGACTCAAATGGTGTGTGACTGACAGAGCAAAGCTACTTTACTGTAAAATAAACATTTAACATTTTTTACTGATGGTGTGTCAGAGAGATGTTAATTCAACTCTCTGCTCATTCTGAGGCCTTAGTTTGTGTTGTTGTTCACTTGAACTGTATTATATTGAAAGATGCTTCTAAGATTTTATCTATTTGTGTGTTGTATCTATTATGGCTATAGCTGGGTTGAGTGGTTCCAGTTCAAACCTTATCTGCTGCTCAATCTGCACACCCCTGCATTTGATAGCTTGACCGGGTAAGAACGAAGCAGACAGCCCTCCAGGCAGACAGGAAGAGCTATGAAATGCACTGGAGTAACTCCACTTCCCGTCCGTCCTCTCAGATCTCCATCAGCTCACCAAGAGTTGCACTCTAGCCCTCAGCAGCAGGCGCCAAGATATCCTATTATACACTGCCACTTGTGATAATTGCCTGTACCCAGCAGTAATAGTGTGTGGAGATAGATGGAGAGTCTGTCTGTGTATGCTTATTCAACTTGGATTTTGACAGGTATTGTCTTTGTGAGCATCCTGAAACACCACTGGGACAAGGGTGGTTCTTGTTGTCTGCCCGCTGCTGCGGTCAAACTAGGCTGTGTTGTCCCGAGCCTCAGATCACGTGCAGAGCAATTAAATGAACCTGGTGCATTGGAGCTTGACTTGTTTGGAGGCATTAACACCAGCGTAGTTCAGCTCGATGACAGCGTCCCTGCACACAGTGGTCACTATTTTGGGAAATATTATAATTTAAAAAATAGTCTTCAACAAAGACTCATTTACTTTTTGGTGTTGTAAATTTACTTTTATGGGCACCAGATTGTGCACAAGTGAAATTATGGAAGCTATTTCTGATCCCACTCTCCAGTTTCATAAGGCTGGTTCCATCAAACAGCAGCCAAAACAATCTCACAGACAAATGGACTTTCAGGGGGGAAAGTAATCAGTACTTTTTATGTCTGGGGTCATTTTCACAAAGCTGATATCAGAGAGAAAAGTTTCTTCATCGGCTTGAATGGTGTGTGACTCACCTGAGTTGGCCTGGTTTATTGTTCATCTCATTTATGAGAGCATGCATTTGGTTGTTTGTCTCTTCCCCGACTGCCTCAACAGTCTCTGTATTTGTCTGTCTTGCGTGCTCTTAGAAAATAAAATATGTGTCTGTGAAAAGAACCACATGGCTCAGGACATGCATGTCCCTGACATATAACTATATTTGAACCAAATAATTTGTAATGAAAAAACATCTGTAAGCCTTGTTTTCTGATCATTGTCAGATGAAAAAAACACAAAACCTCCTGAATAACTTGAAAGGATGTACTACTTGCTACTCTAGCCTAGAAGCTCAGCTATTTCATTTCTATTTGAAGAGCCATTCTTTTTTTTAATTTTTTGGGCTTTCTATGCCTCCATTGGATAGCACAACAGAGAGAGACAGGAAACTGGGAGGCGGAGAGAGGGGGAACGACACGCAGTAAAGGCCCGTCCGATGTCGGATTCGAACCGGGGCCGACTGCAGCGAGGACTGTAGTCTCTACATATGGGGCGCCTGCTCAACCCACTGCGCCACTTGACCCTGAAGAGCCATTCTAAAAGCGGCTAAAGTTGATGCTATGATATACAGATGGGTTAGATCACGTCTTCAAATAGTCTTCCAAAAAATGCTTGAAATCCAGAAAAAAAAAAAAAAACAATTCTTCAATCAGCATTTGCCTATCCTTATATCCTGCTTTCTGAGCAAAATACTGTGTGTACTGTATTATCTTGTGCATTTCCAGACCATATGCCATGAGAAATGTAGATGTAACAGGGCGATAATATGGAGAGTTGGAAACATCTACTTTCATGGAGTTTAATGATATCTCCACAGAATCCTTTTTCTCACAGCCTTGGGCTACAAGAGAATGGCAACCAGCCCTATTGGAGGAGCTTGATGGTAAACTGCTACAATTTTGCCAAATGAAGACTTTTATTAACTCACTGACTCAATGGGGTTTGAAGACTCATTCACAAGATTGGGCTCCTAGTCCTAAGGTTATTACTTTGGATTGCCTTTGAGAATCTGTTTTTCAACAAAAACTGCAACACTGTCAAATTAAACAGCTGGTTTTAATGGGTTATTATAATTAATTAGCTTTTGATATAATCAAGGTTATTTATTTCATGTATGGTTGGTCTTGGCACAAAATCAGCTTAGCCATAAAATGTGATGTGAATGAAACCAGCTATTCAAATTTGTGTGTAATGTGAGAAAACAAATCTGTACAAATACCCTAAATATCAAGCCAGATTCTCAACTGGTTTTCTATTTCCACTTGTCCCAGTAATATGTGTCCATGGGATTGTCCTTGTGTGTCTTGTAAATCAGCCTTGTTAAAATATGGTGACATAAATCCTCTTTTGTGCTCATCCCAAGATAAGCTGAAAAAAGACAAACAAATGGATGCCTAATGCATTTTCATATGTGAAATTAGATGCCTTGCATCCAGACTCCAATCCTTTTAAAGCATAAATGAGAGGCAAGTGACAGCTCTATGTCTCATACACTGAAGTGTCCCTGACAGTTCGTTTCCCACACTCCTTCAGTACAAGGCTCTGCCAGCCAGCCAGCTATCCAGTGTCAATTATAATTGTACATCATGCAGCTGTTTGAGTCATTACGAACCAATAATTGTATCTCTCATCTCTGCAGAGCCATCTATTTGTATCTACCGCTCAACTTTCTTATCCACTTAGCTTCTGAGTAGCATTTTGTTGCTTTTGTTTCTCCCGGATGACAGGGCGTGCATGCAGACAATAGTTTTATGTAAAACAGTTCAAACGAGGAAACATAAGGATGTGATTTAGTCCAGCAAACTGTTCTCATATTAAAAACAATGCAAATTCTTTGTTTTGTTAAGATCAGAGCCCATATTTTAAGCATTTTCAAGCATTTTCAAGCAAAATGATTTATTTATTCTGTTGAAAAACCTAGATAAATGACCAGATAACCTTTAAATAAATTCTGTGAAACACTATTTAAATAATAAAAGTCAGATTTTTTTCATAGTTCCACCTTTGATATTCAGTACTTGTGATGACCTATTAGCATTTGTTTGGGCTTGAATCACCATTAAGGCCACCATTAAACCCTCCGTTTCAGACCAGGCCATGTTACCAATTTATACTGTCCTGTGAAAACCAGTGGGACTTTACATGGTTTATGTTTATTAAGATGCATCATTTTCTCAATCCATAAGGAAACATCTCATAACTTCAGTTTATATTAAAAAGTTCAAAATCAGTAAATTAGGAGTTACCTGGTTTTCAACGGACAGAACTATATACTGACTATATAACAGGTAAGTACAGGCTCAGCCATTCTGTGCCATCAAACTGCACATACTGTAGGTTACACTGGATTATCACTGCTAAACCAAGTGAAACAATTGTGTCTGTAAGTGAATGAACACAATCTCCAATTTATAGGCTTTGAAAGCAATGGCTTGGGTGATAGGGGTATTGAATTGTACATATTTTAGCTCTGAAGGACATCACATTGGATGCCATAGAAATCTTGAACAGATCATGAAACCATCAGTTACAATGATAAAGCTGGGCCAAAAGTGTTTGATGATCTAACAACACATTTGGCATCTTGCAAGAACCACTTGTATGAACAGATGTGTTCTTAAGTGGCATATTAGTGATTTAAGAGAATTTGTGGCATTCACCAATTTCCTTGTTTGTGTCCTGTATGACCCTCGGTGCAATAGACGATGATATATCGGTGCAACACCGCCTACTATAGGATATAATATTCTCCAGTATAATATCTCAGTTCTTGTCGGCTTGTATTAGTCATGGGCTGCTTTGGTTTAGAGTGACTTATTTTAGACATCTGTATTTATGTCAAACCGTTTCGTCTTTATGTCTGTGTCTGACATGTTTTGACAGCTGTACTATTCATATGTGATATTATTGTTGCAGCTCCTCTAATACTACTACTGATACTGCAAAGCTTGTTATCAATTCCTCTGATGATTTCCAAAAGCAAGACTGCATCAGTGCACTGTGAAAGTCCAGCATTTTCACTCTGGTGACATTTTTGCGGATGAAACTCACACATGATACAGGACAGGCGGCCTTAAATGGCAATTTTAAGGGCATTGATTAAGCTAATAATCAAATCTCACAAATGTGCACCTCCTCATGAACAGGTGGCATTCATTAGGCTGAAAAAAGCTATTTATGACTAATTTGGCCAGTTGGGTAAAGTAGAAAACGAGACTAGATGACAGGAGAGAATGTGCTTGAGGCTCTCCTCTTGTATGAATGATGTAGTGGGTTGATAGCTCATTGAACGTACCCAGAGACAAGCCATTACGGTTCATTTCTACTATAGCTGGCCTTCTCTCTCTTTTCAAGAGGTACTTTTATATATGCTCTGCTTCTTTAATTAAAAGGGACACTTATCTGATCGGTCTTGTTCTGTTCCAGAGAGGGGGGAAAATAACTCGGAGAGACAGAGGAGCCTGAGATAACCAGCAAAGTGCAAATGTAAAGGAATTTTAACATTAGAGAAATAGAAAGAAGAGGACTATTTATATTACGAAAGTCATTTTGTTCAACAAAGATCCTGTCAGTCAGATCCAAGGACAAAGAGACATATGATAGCACCTGCTGAGTCACCTCTGCATCTCGCTGGGCTTCTTTCTTGTAGAAATCCTGCATATTTGCCTCTTTTGAACACCAGTAATGACATTCAGTGTCACCGCAGAGCTTAACAAAATAAGACAGGGTACTTTGTTGTGGTTCTGCAGTGTTTCCCCAAGAACAAGACATAAACTGTTTGCTTCCAGAAGACAGGTGATGAGAGCAAAAAATATTAGCAGCTAAGATATATAACTTTGGATGGATTACATTTTCAGAGACCCATTCACAGAATAGATTGTAAGCATGCATTATTGATTAGTATCATCACCTCAGGCTTGTGAGTTGTGCAGTAATTGACTGTTGTGTTTGCTGCTACAGCTTCCTGGACTAGCGAAGCTGCTGATGGAGCAAGAGATAGCTTCTACTACTGTCCAGTTGACCAAATTGAGCAATATTTAGATTCTTTGCTTCTCTCTCCCATTGGATTGTTAGTGTGTCATAATTTTCTTCACACACCATTAATAACCCACCTTTTTCTGTGTCAGAGATAAACGCAGAAAATGAACCTTCCACACACACATATTCCCACAAGGAACATCATTTAGTGCTCCGCTGCTCAGATCATGGTGCAGAAGAAAGGCCTCAGATAAATATGGGAGCACCTTCTTTTGATGCAAATGGTGTGAGAAATAGGTGTCTGTTGGTGCTCTGCAGTTCTGGGTTACCACATGGCTCAGTGCCTCTCCACCTTGTTTATCTGCTTTGAGCTGCTGTGATATTAACGTCTTTTCCCTCTCCCTCTCCCTCTTCTCCCCTCAACCGCTTTGTTGTTTCTTGGAAGGTGTTGCCAGGCATACTGCAGAAGCATTGCTGTATCTTACCAGACAGGAACACAGGTAAGGACCTTACAGATGCCCCACCACCAACACCACCACCACCACCACCGCCTCCACCCACCCTCTTTCCACTAAACACACCGCTCACACACAGTGCTGAGAGGGAGGGAGCGAGCCAGTCAGTGGGAGCAAAGAGTGGGTGGTGATGGTGGGGAATGGATGCTCAGTGGGTGGGTCATATTTGTCTGTCTACCTGTTTTTGTGTGTGCTCTATACATCATACCTCATCTGCTGGCTATATGCATTCCTACTGACTGTTTTATCTATAGTCACTTACCACTTTATCATTGTGATTCTTACAATACACTTGTTATTCTTACATGCTGGCACACAATGTTATCTCTAGCGAAATTAACATGTTTCAAAAGGGCCTAAAATCATATTCTTTGGGTTCTCTGTGTGCCCTTACTGTACATGTCAGAGGGAGGGAAAAAATTTGGGGGCAGTTGTTGCGAACTTGTGATGATGACGGGCTTCTTCACATCATTGCAGGTGTGAAGAGGTTGCTGATGAAATTGAAGAGCAGGGAGATATACTCAGGTACCTGGCTGCAGTCACTCCCAATAATGACTTCTTCTACCTCTCTGTGCGTTTACTCTTTGGCGACTCAACCTCTCTAACCTCTCGACTGCAATGAGACTGCATGCACCATGGGCTCCATCCATCTCACTAACAAAAACCTCACTAACGCTGCTCCAACGCACATCGGCTGCGCATCGGTTCGCTCATTTGTCAGAATCATGACCATTTTTGCCATCTTAAAAATATCTGCCTCCTGTGATGAACTTAGCCCTCTGTTATGTGATGTCCTTTGCTCTACAAACAGTGCAAGACTGATGTCTACCTTAGACAGCTGCGTTTCTCAGACACATGATGAGAAAGCTAACCCGCACATTCTTCCCAGGTGTGAGACTCATGCTGAAGAGTACAGCAAGGGCACAGCAACCTTGGTGATAAAGAGAGACTTGGAAACTTGTCATGAGTTTTAGGTGCCGGAGGTTTGGAACTCCGAGTTATAACTGATAACTGTGCGGCATCTTGCAGCGTGAAATTAATGTTTGATGGAGCATATAGGCAAGATTATCTGCATTTAAGGAGATAAGGAACTTGACAAACTGTAAATCAGCAGCTTTAATGTTATTTTCACTGTAAAAGTTCTGTAAGCCAGTCCCGGCCCATATTTTAATCCAATCCACTTTACCCCCCTCCATTCAAAGAGCTGACAGATAGGTGGGGGTTTTCTGTTATGGAACAATCCTCTTTTTATGCCAGGCAAGTTCAATCAATTACAGAAATGTGCATGAAGAGCTTTACAAATGTTAGCTCAAGTTTTTTGGAATATTTTGCAGGATTTAACTTTCCCAGCAGGATGATTTGCTGTGTGTTTAGTTGAGGTGGTTGGCAATCGTTGCATGAATATGGAGGACCCAGGGGTGCACCTCTCAACTGGACTAAGAACAAGGTGTTCTGACAGAGTGGACACTTACTAAAATAACCTTATAATAACCTTATGAATATGGATATCTGAAGCTCCGAAACTTTTCCAGCGTGATTTTAGCAGACACAAATCTGGGATAGGGCGCTGCCTGTTTATTTAGTTCATGATGTTCGTGCCTGTGTGTGTGCAGACGTTAATGTGTAGGCTACATTTTGTGCATGTGAATGTTAACTTGACAGCAGCATCAGTTTGACTGCTGTTGCTTACCAATCCCATTTCATCTTGACAAACATTGCTCTTCTCTGAAACTATCTTTAGTCTGATATATTGTGCTGTCAAGGCGACAGAGTACATGGCATCTCTCTGGCATACTGATCGGTGGTGACAACAAACCTCTGACTTTGTCAAACTGTTTCCACCAAAGTTCACAGACCATCATTCAGCCTCAAGTTCCATCTCCAATACAAGCATCAGCTTTTGCTGCGTAACGTCAGCAAGGCACGGCTGCTAACAACCTCAGTAACCCCAGTAGTTTCTGTATTTATAATGTCTACCTTGGCATCCTGTTCCCATGGCAACACAGCTTGTGTGTGTCAGTAGATGCATCGTGTCCATTCTTAATAAGCATCACTTCTTTCCACTGATTGGATGGTGTAGGCCTGTTGTATTTGCATATGTTAAACAGATGACATATATTAACACTGGCACTGGATGAGGATGCTCATTAGAGAGTACAGTGGTGTTGAGTCAGGCTTGAGTCGAGGCCTGAGGATTGACATGAATTGAAAAATTTAGTGTAGGAGAGGGTGGAGTAAGATGGGTGCAATACATGGAAAATGAAAGTCTGTGAAAAGAAATGAAAAGACAGTTTTTTCCTGCTGGTGCATATGATTAAGATGCTGCATTGTGTGTGTGTGTGTGTGTGTGTATGTGTGCATATATGTGTGTCCATGTCCATGTCTGTGTGCATGTACTCTGCTGTACTGTACTCTATCGAGTGAGGGGCGCCCTCTCCTGGGCAGTTTCCCCAGCATCTACAAATCCATCCCCTCCTCAGAAACACTTCCCTCACATGCTCTGTCTCTTCTGTTTCTCTGATTCGAAAGCTTGTGCATAGGAACCGGAGGGATGAGGCTTATCATAATCTTACACTCGCTCTCTGTTATCAGTGTGTCCCTCTGCTCCTAATGTACTCCGTAAGTGGAAACCTTTGTGCTTATGAGCACTTGGCATTTCTATGCCACAAATTCACAGACCATTCCTATTTATAGACATTAATTAGCGTGTGAATATTTCACCATTTTGTTGCCATTTTTCATGTCCATGCTTAATTTTCTGGCATTCTATTATCACCTCTTCCTATCTTAGGCTCAGAGCCAATCTCCTTGTCTAATTTTTTTATTTTTAAAGTACTTTATCTAGTAATTTCCACTTATGTAATTCACTTGAACCTCATATTTGACTGGAACATAATGATACTGCAAACATGTTCACATCCACCGAATGAGCAGCAGGGAATTGTTCTTACAGAGAGCGAGTAGATATACGGTCTCTTATACTGCTTATGCTGTTACACCATTAGCATAGGGGTACAGTAAGGAGACATGCTGACTGTTGCATTCTGGGAAACCCTTCTATCATCTCCTGCAGTATTTGGACACTTATTTTTTGCATTCATGGCCTTGTATCCTCATCGATTTGGTCTCCCCTGAGTCTCACAACCCACCTCTAACAGTATCACATGCACAAGCACACACACATTCCTATTACCCTTTGCCTCAATTTACAATCCCCATGTGTTGTTCTCCATGTGGAGGTAAGTGTACCTAGTGTTGTTGTTTGTCTTGCATTTTACACTATTATAGGAGAATGTCACCATTAGTAAACATTCCTATGACATTGTAAATGGCGGAGCATGCAAAGTCTCCAATTGCTGTGCATGGTTTGCTTGTATTTTGCATGTGAAAAGCACAAAGTATTTTTCAGAAGGCATTGGATGCATGTGACTTTGCTGTGTAATGAGACAGCAGAAAACATTCAGGCATAACACAAATTACAACAACTAATGTCATGCTTACTTTTAAATTGAATATGAACAGTTACAGCAAAAACCTCAATTCTAAAAAAAAAATGTCAATGAAAATATTTAGCTAACATTAGTGCACAATGGCAAAGCCATCCAAAATGTTACAGTCAGGATTAAATTAATGCTCAGGAGTGAGCTGTATTTAAAAAAAAAAGAAACATCAGCACTATGAGCATCCCGTCATGTTGACATTTAGATAGCTTAAAGCTCAATAATAAATAATAAATGTTTCTAAATGCCAACATACGCAGAAGAAACCGTGCAAGTTTGCCTAATTGTACAATCCAGACAATCAAGGTTTTTCATCATTAAAATGTAGCTTGCTGGCTCGAACACGAGTACAGTAGTTGTCGGGTTACACTCACAAAAATTAACTTTAATTAGCTAATTTACCCCTCTTGCTGTGTATTTTGTGTCAACTTAACGTGGAAGAGTTTGTCTGAGGACATGTTGCCATGGAAACAAGTTGGCCAGGAGAACTCAGGGGATACAGCGCGGATGTTATTTAGAAAGCAACTGAAGTTTTTAAGAGATGAAAATCATAAGAAAATATTAGAGAATTAGGCTTTAAAGCCCTCACAAGAACCTCACAACATTTCAAGTTTGGGTAGTTCTTAACTTCTTAAGAGTATCCTAACACTCCTTGTGTCCCCAGTCTGTAAAGTGTCTGTTATGTCCTCATCCAGACACATCTTAAGTCCCTGAACTGCATCAGTGTAATGGCTCCTCTCTTTACCTTAGTTAGCCTCTGTCCAGAATCACAGCATGTCCATCTTAATGCTTCATGTCCTGCCTGACCCTCTCCGTCCTGCTGTGAATCTCTCTGACAAGGGAGTGAATGAGCAGCTGCTCTATTAGCTTGCGTAATTAACGGGCGAGCTGTTGCTTTCCCTCTCAGTGTGTCCAGCCTGCTTTTGTGAATGTGACATCATGCACATTGTACATAGACAGACATGCAGTCAGTCAGTCTGTGCACACGTGCACAATGTGTCCTCCAGCACACTTGATATGAATCTGTAGCCAAGCGAGACAACCAGGGAGAGCCCGTCTCTTTCTGACAGCTCTTGATGCCAACTCTGGTCTGTCTTCATACCTACTCACCAAAAGGGACACCTAGAGAGAAAGACAGCATAAATAAGATGAATGGACTATATCTGCAAGAGAGAGAGAAAAAAGAAGAAAAACAAGACAGAAAGATGAGAGAGTGAGTGAGAGCTGACCGAGTGAATTGAGGGGAAGTGTGTGTGTGTGTGTGTGTGTGTGTGTGTGTGTGTGTGTGTGTGTGTTTGGTGGCAGCCCTCAGGAGCTCATGTCTTCTAAACTCTCCACTGCTGTAGTTGATAATGAGTCCTGCACTATCTCTCCTCCTCAGCCCTCCCTACTTTCTACTGTTAGTCTGTACCCTGGACACTCGCACCCCGCTCCACCCCCCTTCTCCTGCTCTCTCTCTCCTCTGCACTCCCTCCAGCTCCGCCA